TCAAGTGTCATTTATCTCCCAGGGACGAAACTTTCGCTCGACTTTCACTCAACACAAAATTGTTGTAACTATGTGTGCTTGCCTGCATCCTTATGCGTATGTGGGTGGATGGGCGTGTGCCTGTGGGGCGGACAAACTCTTTGCATATTTTCCTCACTCACAGCCCTGCCACAAACCCGTGCCCCCCTCGGCACCCAGTCACAGGGTGTGAGCCAAATTGATTTGACAAATATTTTGCTTGGCGTTTATTACATTTTTTTTTTTTTCGTTGGCCTCAGCGTCAGCTCTGGCCTCGGAGCCGTCGATGCGTTGAGGGTTGAGGGCCCTTTTCAGGCTTTAACCCCGTCATCGATGGCAGGGATTACGACGCTCGCTATGGCAACAATTTCAATATGCTGCTGCTCCTGCTTCTACTCCCACTCCGCTACACAGCTCTGCAGGGCGCTATACGATATGCGCCACAATAGAGAAGCAGAAATGCCTCACGCTGCCACAAACACATGCTTGGGGGCCGCATTTAAATGTGCAACTGTACGTTGATTGCACTGTTGCACTTGTTGCTTACCATACCTCTTGCAAACACACTGCATGATACGCCCCTATTCCTCGCCCTTCGCCTCTATTCCTTTAGGTACTGCATAAATAATTATGAACGAAAAAGCAATTTGCTGCTTGTGGTTTAATTATGGATTTGTAATTGGCATTGCAATTCTCAGCATATATTAAGCCGAAAATACGGCAGCCAATAACAGACTACAGAAAAAAGCCACAAAGAACAAGAAAACAATGATAAACTACAGCAGGCCAAGTAAATATTAATATTTTTTTTTGGCGCCATTCCTTGAACTTACTTGCAAATACCGAAATGTTTTTTGCCTATGGGGCACTGGTCTCAGTGTAGGGTATCTGTCGTTTATAACACGGTGTCTCTGTCAGTTTCATTTTGAAATTTGAACCCAAAATTCACTCACAGAGCCCCGGGCAGACAAAAGCACAGCTCCATGAAGCAGCGATTCATTACTGCATTGAGGCTATTGTTCGGGTCCATTGTGTGGCCATTGATAGATAGGTCTCAAATGGCCAGTGGCCTGGGAGCTCGTAATGCACTTCCCCAGCAATTGCAGGGACCCAAAAGTAAGCCAGCAAATAATCCAGTGGCCAAAGTCAGCCACTAATTGCCCCATTAAAGCTCCCTTTGGCTTCCAGTGTATTATAGCCGCAGCAGCAGAAGCAGCAGCCTCAAAGCAGCATCCAAAGCTGCAGGATCAAAGTTGGATCAGTTGAAAGACCTAAGGCCATATTTACCTGTGCCGCATCTCCCGCATCTCCCACATCTGCTTACTTGCTATCCCTCCATTCCTGCCTCTAAATGTTTCGATCTGGCCCCTGTTACGGGAGCGATTCGGGCGACTTTCAGCTGCAGCTTTTCTGTGGCATGGCCAAAGTGGCAAAAAGAGAGCAACGTGGAGATGGTTCGCCCGTGATAGAGAGGTGATTAACAGGCTGTTATGTGGAGACGGCGCCAATGTCTATGATGGATTTTAATTTCAAAATATAACCGGGGAAATGTTGTTAGCTGCTGGCTTTCGCAACATGCAACAAATTGATACATGGCCAAAACTAGCAACAAGCCAATTTGTGGCGGGCGATAACTTTGAAATTGGCAAACTTTTGCGATTAATTAAAATCGCTTCATGTCATTGATGAAACAATAACGAAAAAACTAATATTTGACAATTGCCAATAATCGGCAGACAGCAGCATGTATCCGATGCAGCAAATTGCCTGTGGCAGAGGGGGCATGCAACAGCAACAGCAACACCACCAGCTGCTGCAACAACAGAATTGGGATCAGCAACAGAATCGACAGCCAGAGGAGAGAGCAACAATTAAAACAAATCGAGAAGAGAAAAGTGCTGTTTGTACGATGTTGCTGCTGGTGTTCGATGCTTTTTGTTGCTGCTTCTGCGGCTGCGGCTGCTACAGAAGCAATCTAGAATTCATGAACCGACTATGGGATACCCTAAAACTTACATTTATTTCGTTTCAAATAAGGAAGACTAACACACAGACAGCAACATTGCTGTTTGATACGTTAAAAGATAAGCCCAATCGAGCCCGTCAGACCCATGGACTCCTCAGCGATTAAAGGATATATAAACTTCCAGGCACAGATACACACTACTACAAGCATGCAAATTGGTACACTCGTGCTGTGCTTCTCCCTTGCTCCCTCTCGCTGCACACCCCCTCTCCATCGCTTAGTTGTGCTCCTGGTTTTTTTTTTGTACCTATTTTTGTATCCCTGTAAGGACAAAGTTTTATTTCGAACAATTGCCGCCGTGCAGAGAAATTGAATTGAAAACTGGCAATATAACAAATTTATGCAATCTATATATGTATGTACATATATGTGAGGCCCACCCACGGACACGCTCACAGCCACAGTCAAACACGGGTAGACATGTCTGTGCATGCACTGTCGCCAGGTGAACAGTCGAACGCCGAATGAGGTCTGGACACACTGCTGTTTGATTGCAAAAACATAATTGAATGGCAACATAGGGCCGAGCTATCCCCCGGATCGCAGGGGTTACAGTAGAGGATGAACGAAAATCCCGCTCAAAAAAGAGTAATAAATGCATTAAATAATAATCGAAAAAAACAATCATTTGCATAAACCTCGAGCGGGTGCCAAACTATTCGCAAACATTGCGCTATAAATTATGAAATTAAATTTTCAATTGCCCGACGTTTGTTGTTGTTGCCGCTTTGTGTTTTATTCTTTTGGGTTTTAAAAAAAATATATATGTACATATGAAAATGGAAAATGGATAAATGGAGTAGAATCTGCAAAAAATAAAAACAATTCACATGCATACGTATGTATGTATGTATAATCTTATAAATAAATATGGGAGCAAGAGCATTTAAATTGTGAAATATACATGAAGGTAACTCTGTACCTTCTAATAGTTCACATAACTATTTATACAAAATTTAAATGTAAATATATACACACTAAAAGAGGGATGCCTGTTGGGTCCCATTCTATCAATATGAATCGCTTTACTTTAAGCGTATCAACAGAATTGCATCAGAAAATAAACTGAAAATTCTATTTAGCTGATATTTCACTATAAATAGCTAGCATGTATTTAGATGTGCGTGAAGCTCCTCCAGCAAGCATTAAGCTGACACCCAAAGAAATTTACTTTTCTCTTAGCCTTATCTTGACCCCGGGAAAGCGGCTTATTGGCGCCAACTTTAAATCACAAAGCAGGCCACACCGACTAAGACAAAGCCACCTGTAAGCCCCAAAACAGATAAAACAACGCCTACCGGCCCATCAGCCTACCAGCCTAGCGACCTGTAAATAAGGAAAAACGACAACAAGGCACACAAAAAATAAGGAAAATAATTCAATTCCATAAACACTTGTTCACACAGTTCACGCAGATCACGCGGTCGCCTCGGTAAGCCCGGCCCAGAGACTTGGCTGTAACTTCATCAACACAAATTGTGAATTCCATACAAATAGTTTGACAAACTTACTTGGCTTTTCCCGAAACAGAAACTTGGCAACAGAGCCAGGAGCCAGGGCGATGGAGAGCCAGAGGCTCCTAGAGAGGCGCGGCGGCACAAATGAAAGAAGTTTTGCGGTAGGCCGGGTCTGTTCGGGTCGTGTCGAGGTCGGCTCTGAAACGTAAGAGAGCATAAAAGAAATCTTATAAATCCAGAGCGGCAACAACACTTGCATATGTACATCCCAGATATGGCCATATAAGTATACAAATAGTATGTAAAAACTAGTTTGAGGCAAAAGAACTTGTGGAGCAACAGAAATTGTGGATGGGCGGTGAAGCAGGAAGAGGAACACTTGTGTTGAGTATTGCCACTCGCACAGTTTTCATATCTTAGTTTTGAGCATTTCCGGCGCCAACTATTTGGTCACGTAGTGTGTGCTTCTAATGAATGCGGGACAACCATATAGGCATATACATATGTATGCATATACATATGTATGTAGGCATGTATGATGCGCGTGCCGCATATTATCGCTAAAGGTCGCACGGCGAACTCGAACTATTTTACTTGGGGCACTCTTTCGGCCAGACTAGGCCACAGATAATCAGAGCCATCGCCCTTCCACATCTACATCAGCACCCACAGACACAGACACAGACACTGACACAGCCAGAGACATGTCTAAAGCCATACCGAAAACTTTCACCTTCTCCCATAAAGGAAGAAGGCAAAGAAAGGATATGTAGAGGGAGGACAGATCTGGGAGCCCCCGCACAAACTTTTAAACTTGTTTGGGTTCGGTTTTGGTTTTGAAATTACTCTCGACGCGCGCATTGATTGTCAACGTCCAGAAGGGAATTGAACTTTCTCGTCAGACCGGAGCATTGGGGAGCTGTTCCGTTCACTCAATGGCTAGGCGGCTGTTTAAGTTTCGGCTGCCTGAATCAAAGTTCTGTCGAATTAGTGGTCGATTTTGGTTAGTTTATCACACTGCGCTACACAGTTGAAGTCAGAGAGGTCTGTTCGTTGAATAAATGATTGTTAATATTCCGACCATAATGTAACACTCTTTTAATTACAAAATATATGGGTTTTATAGCTCATACGTAATTGAAAAATCTACAGAAATACTCACTTAATAATAATAAATCCCGTTCAGAGAAACCCTTATCCACACAATGCAAATATTAATCTCTGTTATTGTGGCATAGCCCCCATTCGATTCCATTCAATTGGGCTGTACAATACATACATTTATGTACATGTGTATGTATATGTAGTATGTATATCCCACATCTGCATGGTGTGGAAGCCTTCTGTATTATGAATCCATCCCCACCGGACGCAAACTGTTGACACTTTTCTGTTTATTGGCTGCACCAACAATTGCTTAACGTTTCCATTTGCTTTGCCATTTCCCCTCTCTCCCCTATCACTCTTATCTCTTTTTTTTTTTTTTTCCACACTTACAGCTGCTCCTGGCCGCCATGCTGGCAATGCGCTGCTTTGGCAGCGGGTCTTCCTGGCGTACTGAGGTGGATGCCACGGAGGTGGAGGACGTGGACGGGAACGGGGAAAGGGACATGGCAGAAGCTGTAGTCGCGCTCGAAAACAATAGATATAGCAGTAATAACAACAACTACAACTACGCGTCGTTCGGCAACGTTGATGGCATTGCGGATAGCAACGACAGCGAGCAGAACAATGACAACTATAACTACAACAAAGCACTGGCCAAATGGCAGCACCAGGCGCTCCTACAGCAACAAATGCTCTACGGAAATCCCATCCACAGCATATACGACTTCAGTCGTAGCCAGCCTCAGCCGCAGCCGCAGCAACGGCAACATCTACGGCGTGAGTTTGATGATGATCCAGAGAATGCTGGCAATGACTTCCGTCTGCAATTGTCCGATTTAAATGCGGCCGTTCAAGGTGTGGGCAGGTTTGTTGTCGAGCACCAACACAGCCGGGACCAGGACAACGACAACGACAACAGCAGCAGCACAAACAATGGTGACAGCAACATTCAGACGCAACAAGAGGAATTTTTGCTGGAGCGCCGGAGTCGCAACAGCCGAAGGTAAGCGTAGGAGGCCAGTGGAAGCACGGAAATCGCAAACGAGAATTAGCACGAGTGCTGCTGGATTGTGTTTTTGTGTGTGGAAGTGGGAGTGGGATAGTCAATTTGTATCTGTGCATGTGTGTGAGTAGGATGAAATAGTCAAAGTGAGTCTGATTGGGATGGTCAATGTATGTACATATGTACATCTGTAGTGTCACCGAATATGATTGGAGTGAAGCATTGACAAATCTATCCCGCTCCCGCTCCCGCTGCTGCTTTTGCTTTTGTTCTGTTCTGTTCTGTTCTGTGCATATCAGCTAAATGGCAATGCAATGCTGGTATGCTTGACGTAAGCGCTTAAGCTGATTCGTTACTTTTCAGCTTCCTCTTTGACTTTTTGGCTCAGCTTTGTCCCTTTTTTTGTGTGCTTTGTGTGGCCCGTTTTGTAAGGACCAACTACGCGCGATCAAGCTTAGGCGGATCATGTGATGTCTGTGCCATAGATTACGCAATCTCTCGAATGCATGCACACAGCTGCAAAGGCAAACGAACACAATTGGAAAATCCTTGCTGTCCATAAAAAGGCAGAAGAAAGAGAAGAAGCTTCTTTCAAGTTTTTCTACCAAAGAAAAATACACCAACAAAAAAAAAAGATATATTTTCGTACGCTTGTAGATCGATTTAAAAAAAAAAACATTCCATTTCCGCCACAAATCCCACATTTCTTCCACAAACAGCTTTTTATCCGTTTACGTTTTTCCCGTACTAATTTGAGCTCACCTCAAGAATTCCAACAAGTATTCCTCTCTAAACATTTTCGCAAGCTTTGCGACAAAACTATCAAAGCCGTTGTTGCCCTCAAAAAACCCTTCAATAATGCCACTATCGCTGGTCAGAGGGGGGTGATGCAAGGGTGGCGAGGCAGTAAAGCATGGACAACGAAAGAGGAAATCCGCTGGCAGCCAACGACAGCCGCGTAACGGAGGAGCTTTGTGCTGCTTCGTGCACAGAACAACGCCCTCGGTAGCACCATCTCCGGCCCTGGTCCCAATCCCAATCCCAGACAAAGCCGCGCAAAACGAATGCTAAAAAATTCATTGGCATTTGCCGCAGTTGAATGCAAAATGATGCGCTTTTGTTGGCCAGCTGGAAAAAGGAACTATGAAGGATGGCGGCGGCGGCGGCGGAGAAGGATAGAGAATATCTAACGCCATGCAAATAACAAACGTCAAAAACGAATTCATTTTTTGTTGCAGTCGCCACAGAGCAGTCTAAAAACCGTCGTTTTTCCACTCCGTCGCAGTCATTTCCGACGCCCGCCTGCGGCATCCGTGGCGTTCGCGTTTGTTTGGCAGCTTCAGTAGGGCAAGAGACGCGAGCGGCGTTAATTCATTGCCAAAGCTAAAATTTCCATGCATATGCAATTGCAGGGATCCAGAGGCGGGTCAGCCGGAGCTTTATGATAACGAATATGCAGCAGCTGCTGCTGCTGCTGCTGCTGCTGCTGCTCCTGATGCCCATGTCGACATTGAGGGCGAGGAGGACTTTGCCGTGGCGGCCGAGGGACAGGACGAGGATGCGGATGAGCTGAGTGAAAAGCTGCCCTACGGCATTCAGAATGTGCGCAAGCGTCGCGTTCGCAGCGTTATGCCTCCCGCCCAGCAGCTGCTGGCTCCTAGCCCCAACAGTGATGAGGTGAGCTCACAAATCCCCTCCAGCTGTGTGCTGCTTTAATCCGCATAACCATCTCTGCCCCACAGGTAACCTATCAGTCGCTGTGCCCCACCAATCGAGTCACTGTCAAGCTGGAAAGCGGGGACTACCGTCCCAATCATTATGTGGAGGTCACCTGTGCCCATAACTACGCCCCGCAGCCTCCGCGGGTCCACAACTATGACTACGTCTACAGGAGCAACGATCTGCTGCGGGCCCTGCTCGCGGAGCGGGGAGAGAAGCGTGAGGTGGGTTTTAATCGCAGCCTTCGCACATGAACAGCTCCTTAGTGTCCCGAATCCATTGCAGATCTGCTCGGCGATAGGCTTCGCCTGCATTCAGCTCAACCGCACCATCCACCTGATTCGGCTGAACGATGCCTCCGGCTGCTGGGAGTCGGAAACCCGAACGGTGCCCTCCGGCTGCGAGTGCATGTGGCCCAAGCACAGCTACGGAGACATCGGCTTCTACCACCAGACACAGAAGCGGCACGGGGGCGTACGAGGGGGCGTACGTGTCGCCCCCAGCATTGACTACAAGCCAGGCGTGGGCTATCGCCAGCTGACGGTGCGAACCCGGATTCCCAAGGCCGGGCCGCGCAGTCGACGCGATGACTTGGGCTACGAGAGCTACGAGTTAAACTAGTAGCACAGCGAGTGTGCCAGTGCCAGTTCTAGGAGCAGTGAGTGGGAGGGTGTGCCAAGCACATGCAGAGGATTTGTGGATTTTTGGATTTGTGGCAGCAGATTAGCAACTAAGTTGGATCCGCATAAATTATTTTCGCTTTAGTTTAGCCGTAATGAGTAGATCCCTTAGTAGTTCAGATAATTGTAATGAAATATTAATAAACAACTACAATGGAGCAACAACAGAGCGAGCTAATCCTCGAGGAGGCTTTGCGAACACACAAATCAAGGGGATTATGGAAATTAAAATTCTCTTGCCGAGCGGACTTACAATTAATCCAATTTCGGCGCCTTTTCACAAAAGTTAATCCGGTGTACAGACATATATGCAATTCTGTATATGCATTCGCTCGACTCATGTCCACGGCCATCGATTCCGGCGATTTATAGCGCGACTCTCATCGTAAATTAAAAATTAAGCGCCGACAACAAAGCAATTGCCCATTTTTACATTTATATCAAATGCGTTTGCAAGGCATAAATCAATGTACAATAAATCCCCTCGTTGGAGCGCGATAGTAAATGAATTGCCCTGAGCTTGGGTCTGGGCCTGGGCTATGTGCTAGGTTAACTTCTCCAGCGGCTGCCCTTCCACCTGCTGCTGCAGCTTCTCTACAATGCCTAAAATCTGCGTGTGCATCTCTGCCGCGGGCTGGTTGGCATCGATTTCATGCCAGTAGCTGGACTCACGCTCGCAAATCCGATTGAACACCTCGGCCACCTTGTGCTGGAACTCTAGTTTTTCATAGCTGCAATGGAATCGTAGAAGGATTATGCAATTGCAACTCATTCCAGATAAGAACCTACCGCTCTTCACCGTATTTCCCGCGATTCGAAAGGTTCTCAGACGCTGTTTTGAGGTAAAACACCGCGTCGGGCTTAATGAGTCCCCGTTCCGGGGCATAGCACCAGTCAAAGTCCAATCCCTTGGCTACGGTATAGGCCACGCCAGAGTAGGAATATCGATCGACAATCAACGTTGTGCCGGCCAAAAGTTCCTTCCGGATTTTGTTCATGTACTCCCAGCGGTTCGCCGAGAACATCAAATGAATCACCTCGTCGGGCAGATCCTTGCTGTTGGTTAAGTACGAGTTTATCACCTGCCCAATACTAGACTCACGCTCCGGAAAGTTCATTGACAACGTTTGAATGCCCTTCGACTTGAGGGACTCGGCTACAGTCGAAAAGTTCTAGTTTGTAAGGTTGTTTTTTGAGGCGGAATGTGCCAAGCCATGTTCGGGAGAAGTACAACTTACCCAAGAGTCTGCTTTGTGTAGTCTTGCCGCTGCGGTCGCAGCCTTCGAAAACAAAAAATGCTCCACGTTTACCTAAGCTCATTTTTCAAAATTTCGCAATATATTTGTATTTAATTGTTTGCAGTTTGCCAGGGCAGCACAGTAGTGTGAACGTATTTTGGCGCCAATTTGTTCGACCTTTTAGAAACGTGTTAGTGCGGAGTTTGTAAATAAAACTGTTACAAGTTTTGTGCCTCGGAAAAACATAGATAAATTAATAACTGTAATTGTTTGCAATAAATTTAAGTTATAGTGCTTTGGTATTTTTTTGCATGTGGCTTTTTTAGATACGACGTCGTCGGCCACACTGTAGCGCATTTAAATAGCACGTTTCAGTTTTAGTATTTTTTTAGTATGTAAGAAAAATGCAAGGTGTGTGAGCTAGAGAGGGGACAAACTCGAACGAACTACCAGAACAAGTTAGTTCGGTCACACTGTAGCGCAGATAAATTACATTTTGTTAACAATTTAAATTGTTATTGAAAATACGCGTAAACACACAAGAAAATCAATGCAGCTTCTGCTAAAATAGGCCACAGCACTCGCCGTACTGCCACCGCAATGTGTTGAGAGCAAAGTGCGTTCGGAAATGCGATTTTGCCATAGGTCCGTCCACGACCCAAAACAAGAAAAATTCGCAAACCGCCACAACGAAGTTGCAATGCGCTGCAATTGAGAATTGAGGTATTCCATACAGCATATCATATCACCAGCAAAGCCACTAACTGTGCCGCCGCATTCAATCATTGTGCTAACCGACAAACCCCAATCGCCAAATAGAACTGAAAATGGCATTTCTGAGCCCAAGCCAATTGAGAACATTCATCTGTTACAAACACCGCGTGTTTTTGGCGTAGCGTGCAAAACAACGCTGTCATCTGTCGATAACTTTATCGGCTGCCTTGTTTGTGCCCCTGTTATCGCGCAAGGACTACGAGAGCGCCTGCCGCCTCGCTCGCCGAAAACCTTTCGCCAGTGGGTGGGTGGTGTGAAAAAAGTGCGTGCAGAATTGTTTATAGGCTAAGAAAACTGGCACCAGCAGCGCCCTGCACTAATAACTATTATCGGCTAATTTGGCTCGACTTGAACAGCTACGGTTCGCCTGGCGGCTGCATAGGCAATGTGACAGGACATCCCATGCCGTATGCTTATGTAGAGAAGGCTGTGCATCCCCCTCCCTTGCGACGCGAAGTTATCAGTTATCAGGCACATTCCGCCCCGAAGGCTGGACTGCTAGATAGGTACAGGTACTGTCCATGATCTCAGGTCTTCCCTCCCGTGAGACAAGTTAGCCGAACGGACAACTTCAGTGATAGAGAGCAATAGCACAATGGCCAACAACAATCACCCGCACGGCCACCTCAGCCAGGCCGCCCAGAACCCATCATGGAACCCGCTGCAAGTAAGTAGTAACGATGCCACACGGCCATCTGGAAGTCGCAACCCTGCTGACTGAAAAATCTCAATCTCCAGATACCATCGTACATTCCACGGCAGCCGCAACTCGCGCATATGTCGAACGAGCGGCCCATGGTGCGCTCGCCCCTGGCCTGGCATGCCTCCGTGTCCGCCCAGCCACCGCCGCCGCCAGATGCGCTTTACAATTTTATGTCGGCCAATCATAAAAACGTAATTAGGAAACCGAAAGCAGAATCAGAAAACTAGACGCATGCTCAAATCTCCCGCCTAGCCATTAGAATAGATTCCTTCCTTAGCAGTATATCATCTGTTGTAATCATTATTTGCTTTCTTGTGTGTGTGTGTGTCGCCTGCTGCCACCTTGCATATCTTGTATATCTTGTGATAGTCCCTGCGAAAGGCCCAAATAGTGTTCACTGTCCTCACACACTCTCACTCTCCGCAGCTGGATCACCATCATCAAATGAATCCCTTGCTGGCGCCGCCATACTCTGGAACCTTGCCATTCGACTCCATGGACCTCTCGTTGCAGTCCGCCCGCAGCGCGGCCCAGCCGCTGGCCAAGCAGCCACAACAATCCCAGCAGCAGCCGCAGCAGCAGCAATCCCTCATGCATGCCCCGAACTATCCAACGATGTAAGAGCCATTGCCAATCATCTTAGCCCCAAAGCCCAGCTAATCTCCATCTGTTTCTTCCATTTCAAGCAGCCAAAACCTAGCGACAAATGCAACGCCAACTAGCGCACAGCTGCAACAGCAGCAAGGACACCTCGCCGCTATGGCAGCGGCCCATGCCATGCTGCAGTCGAGCAACCAGAATGCAGCATCTTCCTTAATCCTCTCCAATGGTAGCGATTGTGAATCTCTGCTACCACGGCCGCCATCCACAGCTAACCTACCAACCGGCAGCAGCAGCAGCAACCATACCAGCAGCAGCAGCAGTAACCATACCGGCAGCAACAACAATGTCCCCAGCCCGCACTATATGCAAAATCGCGACGAGAACTTTAAATTGTCGCAGCTAAAGCGCAGCTTCGAGCAGGAAGTGCTATCTTCGAAGAGCATGCAGAAGGACAAACTGTCGCCGCACAATCTCCAACATCAGCAGCAGCAATCCCAGCAGCATGCGAATAAGAAACGTGAGTTCACTTTTTTTTTTATTCAAATGCCAGCTAAACTATTTCTACTCCTGTATAGCCTCACCCTTGCGCAACTATCATCAGCAACAGCAGCAGCAGCTGCCGCCGTATAACTTAACCCCAAAATACAATGGTCCCCAAACCCCGCCAACTCCGCAGTCGCCACTGGCCGGGCCTCAGCACCAGATGCACTCTCCTACAATGGACTACAATCAGCTGCATCTGCACCACCAGCTGAATAGTGGAGTAGGTGGCAGCCACGGGGGAGGGGGCTACCAGCACATGCAGCAAGAGCAGCCGCAGCCGCAACACTTGCACTATCATAATCAGCATGTGGGCAGTCAGAGTGTTTCGGCCGCTTCTCCTCTGCATCCGCCACCGCCCCATTTAGTTAGCTCTCAGTTCCACGCCCAACAGCAGAGCACAGCCCAGCAGCAGCTGCAGCAGGCGCCATCAACGCCGCAACAGACGACACATCATTCCCGCAGCTCGCAACTGACGAATCTAGAGTCGATGGCCAAGCAGAAGACGCAGTCGGAGACGGAGAATCAAACAGTTATCACGGATCTATCCTATCGGAATGCGGCGCCTTCGTTGCCACCCGCTCCGGCGGTAGAGGTGGATAAACCAGCAGTAACAGATGCACCCGAATCACCCTACCTGACCACATCCAACGAGGAGTCGCTGGAGTCGAATAGCAACAGCAGTAACAGCCGCAAAAGGCGCAAGCGGAAGTCCAGCCTCGTCATGCGGGTCACACCCAATGAAAATGCGCCCGAGGGAGGAGGAGGAGGCGCCACCGCCAAGCAACAGCAGCCTGGAAACACGCCCAGTAATCACAGCAACACCTGCAGTCCAAAGCAGTCGCCCAAAATCGCAGGCTCCGACTTTCAACCCTTTGGCCTGCAGTCCGAGTCTCAGAATGACAAGCAGACGAAGCAGGAGAACGGACGGGGATCCTCGCCATCACCCACGGAGAACAGCAACAGCTCCACGCTCTACAACGATGAAAATCCCAAGACGAAGAAGCAGCGGCAGGCCCTGCTCCAAAGAAACCTTACGGAGCAGCAGCGCATCCACCACGAGGATGAACCGCCGATAAAGCACACTCCCCCGACCATGCCACCACCGAGTCCCCAGAGCAACAGCAGCAGCAGCAGTTCGAGCAGCTCCAGCGGCAACACGCACAGCAGCCATAGTAGTCATGCTACTAGCATGCCTAGCAACGATGTACGTAGGCCAGAGAAGCCGGAGAACGATGAAACCAATGCCACTACCGACACGCCCGCGTCGCCAGCTCTCGTGGAGCAGGGAAACATTGATGCCAGGCCGGCGGTGAGTGTGCACGAGTGCGATGAAGAAGAGGAGCCAGTGGGAGGTGCCACCAAGGAGCCAGAATCACCTCAACTGGCACCAGTTATTCCCTTGCCCCTGGAAGGTCCCGATACAGCCGGCACAGCCACTCCACCAGCTAAGGAAACACCAACTGCGGCCAACTCTGAGCACTGTACGTTTGGAGAGGTAGAGGATAAGCTGGAGGAGATGTTTGCTGGCATCGAAGAGGAGCCCGAACAGAATGGCCCACCGGAGAAGCCTGCCCATCCAGACGAAGACGCAGTGGCGCACGATTTGAGTACTCAGCTGGCTCTGGACAGTGCCCAAGTTGAGGATAAGCCTGCGGCAACGAGGACACCAGTGTCGGATTCACCTGCAGCAAATCTTCCACTCCTCATCCCCGAGGTGCGACCCGTAGCCACTAAGGCAGCGAAGAAGTCCACCATTCCCAGTCCCGTGCACAGCCCCACGCCAGAAACTCGCTCCACATCAACGCCTTTGACTGGCACCGAGGACATCAAGTCTCCTAGCATCCTAACCCCTCCCAAGGGCACGACCTCCCGCCGGCTGCCACCACGAAGGCTCTCTATGGGCATGGATGCTTCCCTGCTGCGTTTCATGATCGATGAGCCTACAGGCAAGGCCAAAAAAGCCGGTGGCCGTGGCAGAAAGCGGGCAGCACCCGAGCCAGAGCTCGACAGCGAGGATGATAACAAGCCCAGTACCTCAGCAGCAGCAGCCGCGGCGTTGGCAGTACGCCAGCAAAACGAGGTGGCTGCCGCCAAAGCAGCGATCCCCAAGGCCACAGCGACCAAGAAGAAGAACGCGGGGGGAAAGGGCAAGAAGGGGGCAGCGGTGAAGAGCAAGGCCAAGCCGAACGGAAAAAAGTCAAGCGCCGGCGGTCGCAAGCCGCCGACCACCGACGAGGACAGCACTCAGGCGCCAACGAATGGAGGTGGAGGTGTTGATCTACGGTTCAAGTCGCCCTTCATACTGATCAAACCAGACGGCAGCGTGAGCATCAAGAACACACACAGCGCCGAGGACGTCAACGAGAAGCAGACCAAGGCCAAGAAGGCGCCCCACGAGAGAAAGAGTCTGCGCGGAATGCACAGCTCCACACTGAGCAACCGCTACGATGCGGACACCACCGACTCAACCTGGATCTGTGTGTTCTGCAAGCGCGGACCGCACAAGATGGGCCTGGGCGACCTCTTCGGACCCTACCTAGTGTCCAACGACTGTGACGAGTACCGAGCAGCTCTGCAGGCGCCCGGGAGCCAGGACTTCGATGGCGTCTTCGTAAGCAAGCGCAGGCGGGAGGATATGGTTCAGCACCGACGTAACCTGCCCGCGGTGCCAGCCACGCTGGCACACATCATGCAGGGACCAAAGATCAGCATGGTAAGCAGTAATGCGGCACTTCTGACCATTTGAATTTCTAATTTCCAATCTCTTGCAGCACAAGCGGAAGCGCAAGCACACCCACGACAGCGTCTACTCCTGCAGCGATGATCTTAACGAGTCGCAGTCCTCGCAGGATCCGCTCGACTGCACCCATGAGACCAAGTTCGTCGAGACATTTCGGGGCATGTGCAAGACCTCCGAGCACGGGTACGAGGTCTGGCTGCACGAGGATTGCGCAGTGTGGACCAACGACATCCAGCTGATCGGCGCCCATGTGAACGGACTGGATGCCGCTGTGTGGGACAGCACGCGATACCATTGCGTCGTCTGCTCCCAGACGGGGGCCAGTGTGTGCTGCTTCCAGCGGTGCTGCAAGGCGACTGCCCATGTGCCCTGTGCGCGCTCCTCCAACTGGACTCTGGACGAGCAGGATCGCAAGGTCTTCTGCCAGATGCATGGGCAGTCAGAGTCACAGACGCAGTCACAGCCACAGCCACAGCCGCTGGAGGTCTTCAAAGCTGAGCCTGTGGCAGCAGCTCCGCCAGCAGTTGCCCCACCACCCAGGTTCGATGTCAATTCGCTTCCCTGAGTACGAGTTCGCGTCCGGGACTGCCTCCTGATCGCCAAGCGTTGAGCGCAGCCTCTGCCTCTGGCTTACCCCGAATCCGCTGCCCTGTCTACCGCAGCCTTCACATAGGCTTTGTAAATAAGTTTCCCGGTCCGGGGGCGTTTCGTAATCGCATTAGAAGTGTTTTGTACAAATCCGCTGTACATTTGACAAGCTTTGACGCACAGCACAGATGATATCAATCAATGCGTCTCTATGCTCTAGTTAGATTCCTTTCGCAAGTCCTTAGTTGTCTATACTTAAATTATTCTTTCGAAGTCCACAGACGCGCCAGCACTGTGTCCCCCCTTACATTAGTACCTTTTAGTTTAAATTAATTTAATGTCCCTCCCACATCATCACGTATGCCAATTGATTATTTAATTCAGTTGAATGTCCTGTCCTCCCTGCCATACGATAGCGCAGAAAATGGATACATACATACATACTTACCGACGAGTATATATGCAATTTTCACAGCATTCATTCATTTCACTGGAGTGTTGAGGTGGGCAGCAATGTAGTGTAGGGTTTAAATAGAAATGAGAGAACATTCGAAGCCCTATTCAAAATGGAAAACAATTGTAAAACAATATAATTCTAAAGTATAAATAATATTAATAATTATAATTATATTAATGGTAAGTTAATCGTATAAATAGAACCTTGTATTGTATTCATACATGCTAAGAACTGTACGTATATTGATGATAACTTTTAATTCTAAACGTATAAACAATAAAAACTTAATCTCACAAGCAACGAAAATCATTAACTGTAGATACGAGATGCACTGAAATTGGATTCTCCAAAACTGAATAGTTCCCCCCGCATTTAATCTTTAATTTTCATGGATTTTTCGTTTTATTTCTCAATAAATATGCAAAAATATACAGCCGCATACGACACGTAGACGTATAGGATAGATAGAATATGGAAGTGAACAAATGATCTCTAGATTAAGTCGTTAACTTAGCTTAGGCATAAATAGTTCATTAATTTAGCTATGCTAAGACGTAGAGCTAGTGGGGATCTCCACATCCCCGGAATCTCCTTCAGTAGCGTCGCAGGCGTCCGCGCAGCTGCTGCGTTATGTCGTTGGGCAGCCGACCCACACTGCTCTGGGGCACCTGGTAGGAGGTGCGGCCGGAATAGAAGGACCGCTCCCTGCTCTTGCCCGATCCCGATCTGGATGGATGCCTGCCGGCGGTGTTCGTCAACTGCAGCTGTTGGGCCGACACGTCACTGCGCTTCTGGGCCAACTGTAGTCCCGGAATCAAGCCATTGGACAGCGTAGGCAGCTGCACATTCAGGTGATCCACATGGCGTCCACCTATGAAGGATCCCTGCACTGAGCCAGTGGCTGTCACTGCTGCCGGCGGGGCCAGGGGAGGGAACTGTGGCAGCTGCTGCTGTTGCTGTTGGTACGGCACGAATATATTGGGTGTCAGGTAGGGCTGCTGATTGGATTGTATCGACGGACGCGATTGCTGCTGGAACTGTTGCTGTTTTGCTGCTGCTGGAAGGGATGTTGCTGCTGCTGCTGATAGGAATGTGGCTGCTGCTGATGGTAGATGTTTGGTTGGTAAATGGTTTGCTGGTGGGGCTGTTGGTACTGCTGCGTTATGTAGCTTAATTGCTGCTGAGGTTGCTGCTGACGCTGTACCTGCTGTGGCACTTGCACATGATGATGCTGCTGTTGCACCTGCTGATGTTGCTGCTGTGCAGGCTGCCTTTGCACCTGTACCTGTGCCTGCTGCTGCTGCTGTTGTTGCAGCGTTGTGGCGCCTGCAACACTGTTTTCGTTGCCCTGCCCGAACTTGGAACTGAAGAAGTCGTTCAGCGATACGTACGAGCTGCCCTGACTGGCCTTGGCTGGCGCCTGGGTTGCCAGAGAGGCGATGATGTTGCTGGCGGAGTTCGGTGCAATGCGCTGTCCCTCAGCGCGGACAATCACTATTCCGGGTGGGGTGGGCAGCTGCGGGGGGCGTGGCGGTACGGTCAGGCTGGAGATGGCTGTGGAGCGGAAAGAAAAAGAGGGAATTAAACTGTAGCCCATACTTTCACATTGAGGACTCCTCACCTGGTGCTGTGGCGGGCTTGTTGTACCCAATGCTGTTTCTGCTGCTGCTGCTGCTGCCGCTGCTAGTCCTGCTGCCAACAGAGCTGGTCTTGGCCAGTGGACGGTACGACTGGGACTGGGACTGGGCCGGAGCCGAAGCTGAACCCTTGGACTGGGCACTCTTGAAGTTCTGTAAGACGGATTCGTCAACAATGGCGCGCGTTAGCTTATCGAAGGAAAGGAAGCCAGAGGAGGGAGAGAGGCTTGAGGTGATGGATTGGGAGGAGGGTGGTGCAATGTCGCTGACTGTTTGTGTGGCGTATGCGTGTGGGATGTGTTTTTGGGTCTGCGGTGGGTTGAGTGTTGGCTGGGCGTAACCGTAGCCGGAGGCCAGCGCGGAGATTTGCTGTGTCAGCGTGGACAGGGCAGGGGAAGAGGTGGTTCTGGGTGTGGTGAAGACTCGCGCGGTGGTTGGACCCCGAGTTCGCGTGACCGGAGCCTGCGTCTTGAAGTTCGAATAGCGATTCTTTCCGCGATTCACCGATCCTGCTGCCGTGGGTCTGGGAAAGCTGCTCGTCGTCGATGTGGATGTGGCGCTGGTACTGGTGGTGGTGCTGCTACTGCTGCTGCTTCCTGTTGATCGTGTTGCCGGCGTGTAGATGCGATTCCCGCGCTGCACTTGGAACCTCTGCAGATTGCTGTGGACGCTCTCCCAGCTGGCCTTTCCGGTCTCGACCTTCGTTTCCCGATCAATGTGGCGTGCCGATAGCCTTTTGCTTGGCCCCTGCTCGGCCCCACCCCGCACATACGACAGGGAGGAAGCTGCGGTGGTGGTGGTGGTGGTTGCTTCTGTGGTAGCCGAGGCCGTGGTAGTCGGGGCCTTGGTTGTGCTCCTGGTGGCCAGCGAAAGGCGGGACAAACGCAAGCGGCTGGCTGCCAGGCGTTCCAAGTAGCTGCGGGTGGGCGTGGTGGTTCGTTGTGTGGTGGTGCTAGTCGTACTGCGCACCACCGGCAGCGGACGAACGTTGGCGCGTTTCAAAGAGGAATTACCGCGGCTCTGAGCATAGCGCCGATAGCCTCGAATCCGCTCCTGGGTGCTGCTGATCTCTGTGACCGTTTCCGTGGAGGTGAGCATTACGGGAGTGGTGCTAGTGGTGCTGGTGGTGCTTGTTGAGGTGCTGATGGGGGCGGGGCTGCTCTCTGCAAACTCATTTGTGTTGAGGACCTGTGTCTCCTCGTCGTGGGAAGTCAGCTGTACTCCAGCCAGCAGCAGCTTGGTGGCCTCCTGATGGACGCTCGTCTTCTCGGCAGCCTCGGGACTTTCCTCGACTTGGGCCAGGTCATCACTGAGGGGCAGGCTGGCGGTCAGGGCGGCTGCCTGGCCGAGGGATTCGATGGCAAAAGCAGGAGCCAGAAGTGGCGGTTCCAGCAGGTTGAGTGGCACAGCAACAGTAGTGGGCGTAGTTTCTGCTGCCGATGTGGTGGTCTCAGCCTCTACTGCTACTTCTTCTGCCTCCTCCTCCGGGGCTATCAGCAGTGCCGGACTCGCTTCCGTTGTGGTTGGGCTGGTGCTGGTGCTGGTGCTTTTGCCAAACTTGTGTTTGTGCTCAGTGGATTTGAGATCTTCGGTGGGTATCTCATTGGGCTTTTGGGTGTAATTTGTGTGTGTGTTGTGGTTGTGTGGTTTGCGGTATGTGTGGGGTGAGGCATTGTTGAAGGCGATAGTTGATAGAGTAGCGAAATATGTATAGATAGATAGATAGATGGATAGAGAGAGAAAGAGAGATAGTAAGAGATAGAAGAAACAGAGGAACAGGCTGCCAGATAGTTGCCGGATCAAAGTGGTTGCCACTTACCGTAAATCTCACTGTGCCCGGCGTCTGTTTGGGTTTGTTGTACACGTAGGCCGAGGAGCTACCCTTGGAGCCATCTCCGTGCATGGCGAATCCGCGACTGAGGAACCTAAAGGGCTGCTTGATCTTGGTCGGAGCCATTGACTGGTAGCCGGAGACGGAGGGATCCACATCGGAGGAGACCTCGTCCAGCAGGTTGTTGATGTTCGACACCAGATCCACCTGTGTGGCCTCGTCCTTGTTGCTCCGTATATGCTTCATGTAGTCAGGGGCCAGGACCTCGCTCGAGGTGGACTCTGTGTCGGCCAAGAGCTCCAGTCCAGAATTAACCCGCTCCGCAAAGTTCTTCTGCTTCTGGTAGTGATACTCCCGCGGGTACTCGGCCACAATGTGGGCATTGGTGTGGTCGAACTGGATGCCCGGATCCGAGGAGAGCTCCCCGAGGCTGTTCACATAGATGCCCTCGCCGTCGCCATCGTCAGTGGAGGCGGAGGGAGAGATGGTCTCCAGCCCTGCTGCATTAAGAGGCTCACTTTTAATAGCCTCGCCCCGTGCTGCTGCAATTTGTGGTTCCTTGGTCTGCTCCGGCTGGGTGAGTACTCCACTGGCGCTGCTCAGATCCTTGCTTAGGCTCTGGTGCTGTTGCTGCTGCTGCTGCTGCTGGGGATGAGTCTGCGGATGTGCCTGTGACTGTTGCAGGGCCTTCGATATGGTCTTCATGGGGTACTCCATCATGTGGCGGACGCGCTCCATCATCTCGTGGGTGCTGCCCACGCTATTCTCCACGTTCATCTCGTAGTACCGCTCCGAATCGTCGCAGTTCACATTACGGTACCAGTCGCATACGAAGTTCTTCTGGCTGAACAGGGTTCCGTTGGGACAGAGGAAGCCGAAGCCCTGGGGGGATCTCGCTGTGTGGGCGCAGATGCGGAACGCCTGGCAGCGGCTCTCCACGTCAGCATAGTAGCCTGCAAAGGAATGGGATCGCATTTAAACGGAGGCCTAGAGAGAGAGAGGGCCAGAGATGCCACTCACCTTCATGGCGACCCTTGCACACGAAGCTCGTCTTGGGCGGGGCACTGAGGATGGGGTAGTCCAGGCCGGGTTCGCCGGGTATCGTGTGCCGCAGATCAAACTGCTGGTCCGTGTACTCGCTGGACGTCGTGTCGGCGTCCTCGAAGTGCTCTCCGCTGCTGTGGGTCTGGCTCTGGCCCTGGCCCTGGGCGGCGGCCAGCAGCAGGAGGAGAAGCCCCGTCCACCGAGCGAAGCTCTGCATGCTGAAAGTGAAGCATGGATTAGCAGGCGCTTGCAACACCCTAAACGTTATTCATTAGGCTGATTGATAAACCATGAATAGGGGCAAACTCATTGATTAAAATGTTTGTCAAATTTGCATACGAATGAGAGCGGGCCAATGGGCAGCGGAGCCACGTAAGTGACGACCACCACGAGCCGACTAATTAGCATACGGATTGGGTCGAGGCGTGTCCGCTCTCTCACGTAACCAAACCGAGCGAATCGAGACCCAAACCAATGCCTTTTCCAGCCGGGCAGCGACTTTTGTGTGGCACTGTTGCGTGGGTCCATCAACGGTTCGAATTCGGCACCAAATGACAGCTAAGCCCGATAAATAAAACAATAAAAGGAAGCGAGAACTCAGATCTGACCCTGAAATAGCTGCCGAGATTTCCGTTTTTGCTCTAGATGTTGTGCCTCTCGGAATATCTTGAATATTTATGATCGATTTGGAATCACTTTCGATCTCAGTGCTCTGCCACTCAAGATAATATTCATCATCATTCATGTGATCGATTTGGAGTTCAGATTGGGTGCGAGTGTTGGTCTTTTCACTGGTAATCCAGCGGCTCCATCAATCACCTGGATGAGCAGACATTATTAATCACACTCGGGCCCCATTAGAATGTGACTAATTTCGAATTACCAAACGCTAATCAAATCTGAGCACCAAATATATTCGAACCGCTTCCAGTTAGGCACTTGAGCAATCAATTCTCGATGGGTTTTGCAGCGGGACGAGCATCAGCTGCCGACAGCCGCTGAGGTCATTTGATGCCATTATATTTTCCCAATGAAATGTGCTGACAGCACATGCTACAGATACATACATTTGCAGTAGGGAAATTCTATATAAATTTATACAGAGATATGAATATCTTAAACATGCGGCTAAGAGTGTCTTTAAGTAGGTGGCAGCACTATTATCTTGACCATTGCTGTTCATGCAAATTGAAGCCTGCTCAAACGAAAGACTCGGGCAACGAACTTGCCAAACGAACAGCTTCAATTGAACTGAAATATTACCCTAAATTATCTCAATGCATTGTTGTGTAAGAAAGGAAGCATCAAAACACTTGGCCAGACATCATTCACTCAATGATTGAATTCGCTGTGCTATATATAGTATGTACGAGTATGTAGTGCAGAAGCAGATCGAAGGCAATCAAAGCAAGCGAAAACCAAAGACCAAAAAAACCCTTCAAGTTTTAGAGAGCGAACCAAAGTTGGACCATTGTTCGGCTGACAAACGAATCGCCACTTAATTGTCCACCAATTTGAAATGATAACTCAATCAAACGATTTTGTGTTTACATAAGATGGATGATGTAACAATTAGAAAACCATAATTATGGCTTGGTTAATTGCAGTGCTCCGGTGGACAGTCAACGACCTTCCCGCGAGTCAACAAACTGTAAGCTTTCCAGTTCTAAATACGATTTCATAATGACTATCTAAGCGACATCTAATTGAATTTTAATGATCCACGGACAGAAGCCAGAAGAAGCGCTGGCAAAAGTGCTTCACTCGGTGGCTCCTCAATATGCAAATATCGACTGCAACTGGGGGAGGGCACAGAGATAGGGACTTGGCCAAGTGCTACACTCAGCTTTGGACAGCCCAGAGCTTCCACTTCCACTTTCAAGTTACAAAAAAAAAACCATTTACAATTCGACAGCTTCAGGGTCATTATCAAGAGCAACGCAAAACTGAAAATCATAGCCGAAAACTGAAGACCGTAGACCAAAACAACAGACAACCACAGACAACGAGGAAGCATCGTCAGAAAATGTTTTACTTCTCATTGTTTTCAATGATCCATCAAAGAAAAAATTAAAATGCCAGACAAATGATGAGCATAAGATGATGGGAGCCCGAACAAGAAGCCACACATTGGAGTGGGGAAGGAAAATTTCAGATAACAGACTTTGCATTGAAAATCGAAACCCACAAACAAAAGAGAATGGATAAGCATAAACATAAACCCATCAATGGCATTTTCAATGAGCTGAAATACACATTTTCGCTGTAATTTAAATGCGTGGATCATTATATTGTATTATGATCTCCAGCTGAGTTTGCTTTTGCTGCAAATTAATTGGCAGCACGTTTTGTTCAGCCGAACCATAAATCTTAGCCAGATATCACGAGAACGGGTTACCCCTAGTCGGGTATTTAATTATAGCAAATCGCTGGCTCTTTGGCGCCGACAAGCCCCTGACTCTCGAGTGTCATCCAGCTGAATTGATGGCTGGGATGGCGATGGGTAGAAGGATATGCTGGAGCTCGTCAGCGTTAGCTCTACCACTCAGTCATCTGAAGTGCCCGCATCTATGGAATTCGGCCTGAGTCTGGGTTCTACTTATGGTCAGATGACGCAAACGGAGTGCGTAACACGAGCTGAGAGTGAGCCACTTCAAAGAGTGCTCAGCGTTCTGGGGAGATCCGCGAACCCTCATTCTGTATCCGCTTATATATATCGATTGGAGAGCTTTGGTTATTGGTTTTGTAAACATATCTCATTGGCGGATTTACAAAACAATCATTAAGTATTCCTACATCGAAGAATCTCAAAAAGTTTAAACTATTTTGGGAAAATGTTCTCAAAAGTGAATGTTAAATGTAAAGACTTTCAATCTTCTTAGTTTTCTGTATTAATACTCCTTTCCTATTAACTTTGTTAACGATTCTACAATTGTAGGATCTAAGGATCAATGTTCCCATTGATCTAAGTGACTTTGAAATGAGCATTGTTTTTTTGTACTATTTCATGTTGGTAACCATTCCCAGAATACTTCCCATATTACTCATCCCAAATCCCACAACTAATTACCAAAATTATTCATATTTTCTTTGCAATATTTTAGCGGTCAAATCTTCAAATAAGTATCTCCATAAAAATAAAAATTTGTTGTTTCTAAATATCTTCTAGATCGCGGCCACTTAAGCAGATGATTCAGTGTCTGCTCGTATGATTGTGGGGGTGTCAGCATGGGAATTTGTTTTATTAATCGCCATTCGCTAGACGATTATTCAGGGTACTCTGCAGGGAGTCACAGTTTTACCTTATTTATTTCCGAGCAAACTATTCCAAATGGACAAGCTTTTATTTATTTTTCGTAATTTGGCACAGCTATCGGATCTTTTCGTTTATTTGATAGCACAGAAATAATTTTAGTATTTAACTTCACAAAACACAGAACTGAAGTCAGGCTAAAGCATTATCCTGTCGGTCGGTCGGGATAATATCCTTTACTCGAAATGGGGCTTAAGGAGCCGGCTACTGAGCGGAGCGGAGCCAGGGTAAACTGAACCGTTCGAGGCGCGATCTTGAACTGAACCCAAACATTCAAAGATAATCGAAATATTTTGGCCGCAAAAGAGTTCGAAGAGCGACAGCGCCAGACCAAGACCCAGACCCAGACATTCAGACTCGGCCAGTCAGAGCCAGATACCCCGAAATACACGCTGAAGAAGATACGTATACGAAAAGCAGAGACCAGACCCGATCGATTGCGTATGATGTTGCTGCGGTACCACCGGTAAACCGGTGACAACCTGCTGCTGCTGCCGATGATGATGATGAAGATGATGCTGCTGCTGCTGCCAGCCTACATAACAGTAACAGTTGGAATTCATAAAAAATACTGAAAAAAAACAACAAAAGAAAGGCACAAAACCACTGTCAACTGTCTTCCTTAGGGGCGTGTGTGCGAATGGAAAATTAAATCACAGTGAATACTCCATAGAAAGCAATATGAATGAGGCACTTTGCCAGCATAAATATGTATAAAATTAATCTACTAAAGTTATTGATTTTGTGTACGTCTGAAAGATATCCATCTCAGAAAACAGAGTAGAAAACTCCCACTGTATGAGAGCTGCGCTCAGCGAAAGGATAACTAGATTGGGACTCTGATATAATTTAACATACGCTTAGCAGTCACTCCTCCTCCTACAGCTGTGGTGGTAGTCCGCCTTCAGAGTGTTTTCACTGTACCCAAAAAATTGACTTTCGTTTTCATTTCGGGTTCGGTTTCAGTTTCGGTTTTCACACGGCTAAAGTGGCAGAAAAATTCGGCAGATCGGGTTGAAGCTCTTTAGATTCCTTGCATACGTATGCGACATAGTTGACTGAGTAATCTTGGCCGTGGCCAAGATCGGCGCGTATAGAACTGGAAGTAGGGGAACTGGGACTTCCGCATATAAAGCAAAGACCAAGTTTGAGTATCGTGTGACCCAAATCTGAAATTTTAATTAAACAAAAGCTCGATCAATTAACATTAAGCGCTGCTTAGCAGCTGCACTTGAAGCGCTTCTTGGCCAAATGATTGATGGATAGAGCAGCGTTGGCGGTGTCATGTGAGCGTGGATCATCGGATCCGTGGATCCAGCAATTTGCAGATCCACGCATATCAAATGCGCTGCTGTGCTGTGCCTTCTATAAATTGGATTTTGAGCGCCATCCAACAAGCGGACGGACAAGCTGAAAAATTGTTCGCTGTGGAATCTGCCCCTGATCCGCTTTAGTTTGCATTTTTTTTGCTTTTGCGCTAAACGTGTCGAACATGTGGCCAAATATTTGCCATGGCTGCGACTCGACCGTGTTTACAAGCCCCGCCGATTCGGGCCTGGCCAGCAACTGTGGCAACAACGGAATGGGGTCAGCCAGCTTTCAGTGCCACTGCCACCAGCCTATAAAAGTGCAACGCGACCGATTGCATCACCAGTTGATTGCGAGCAGAAATGATTCCCTGGACACTTGTTGCACTTGCGGCGGCTCTCAGCGCTGCCCTGCTGCTGCCCCAGCCCTCGTGGGCCAGTCCCCTCGAGAACGACACCACGGACAGGCCCCACATCAACTACCCGGCCCTCTTCAAGGCGTTCCTCGACATGGGGAATGCCATCTTCGGTACCTGGACCCCTGAGGGCTTCACGGACGAGTTCAACTTGCTGCAACGGGACATGCTTTATGGATAGGCGGCTCCTCTATCTCTCTTTATTTCTATAAAGATGTTGCATAAGTGTAGCATGCTGCATCCATAAATATACCCAGAAACAGAAAGAGGTGTGGGGGCTAGAGACAACATTATAATTATGCACGCTTCCCTTTTGGCCAAATCACCCATCATAACCACCACGTTTGCTATTGGCCACACCCTTGTAAAGGGCACTAATACTTTTCCTAGCTGTTTGCCAAGTATTTAATAAATAAACTAAAACTATGTGCAAAATCTCACAGATTTCGTTTTTCTGTGCTTCTCTCTCTATACGCCTTCGGCGTCTTTCACATATTTAAATACTATATACAAAACAAAGGAATAATTGTTTGGTTAAGTCAAAAGAACATTTGAATAGAAGGTAAGCCAAAGCTTCTTATCAAACTTAAAATTTCAGGAAAGAAGAATCAAAACGATTTCATCACAAGAGTATTTGCCCACTCGGTGCCAGTATCTTTTTTGCATGCGAGAGTATATTCGTATATGAATTTTTGTTGTCTTCAACTCATCCGTTGGCTGTGTGTTATCTCCGAACATGACACTTCATATGTTTCTTTCATTGGCAAATTAGTTATTTCTTGACAAATCCGCTGAGGCAAAGACAAAAAGTTAATAAATCGATAGATAAAGTAGAAGCAGACACACAGGGCTGCCTGCCATTCGACATTGTCGGGCATCGATCAATTTGACTAATCATATTTATAGACGCACATTCACATTCACAATCCCCAATCCCATTGGATCTTATGCAAAACAACTCCTAAAAAAAAAAAATAATCATCATCATTATGCAAGCCGAAAATCCGAAAAGCCAAAAAGCAGTCAAGCACTTGTCCGTGCGAATCAATTGATTGAATCCATGGATTGATGAACAGCCTGCTGACTTGAATAGGATTGGATAGGGGCTGGGGTGCTGGTGGGGAGGCAATCAATATAATCATCTAGACAAATTCTTTCATTTCGATTTCAATTATTTGGCATAATAAATGAAGCAAACAATTTGTCTGCGGCTCGCTCCCAAGTGTTTCCCTTTGTGCCGCTTTGGCTCAAGTGTTTTTCCTCCATAAATTAAGTAATCCAATTGTTGGAGCCATTCATCATGCTCCACTATATATACAATCTATCATAAAAGTTTCTTTATATAAATATCTATTCAGATTTGGCTATTTCACCTGCGGCCCATGCGGGCTCTGCTCTTCGCGTTTGTAGAAGCGCCAAAATGTTTACTTCCTGCACGTGTCATATAAATTATCGAGTTGCCGTCTCATCATTTGGCTCCGGCCTTTAATTGTCGGTTATCGTGCATGTCAAGTAAAGATGTGCCAGCAAACTATTATTAAAACTAAATTTGCCAACTCAGGGCCCAAGAACGTGATATACTTCTGTGACTGAGCAAACTTTAACCGGAATAACCCGAACATACATTTGCTTGCTCACGTGCCATCTAACACTAGAATTTCCCCCTTAATCCGTCTTTAATTGAATGCAAAACCGATCCCCCAAGCTCAAAGGAAGAGGCCAATTCAATCATTGAGCCAGTGATGATCAAACCAAGACTTTAATTTGATTACGAGTTGGGGAACATACTTGTACATACATAAATCGAATATATTTGCTCGCAACGGAACAGTGGAAGAGTGGAACAGTGGAGCGGTAATCATCATTAGTTGGCTTCAATCATTTGTTTCCCGCTTAAACACTGTTAAGCTTAACATACAAATTAGCCAGCAAAATTCCCACAGAGATGGGCAGCGCCATGCTTGAAGACGGATGGGCGTTTGCTTCTAAATGCATGTCAAACATCACATTACTCAAAATGAAATGTTTTCAGAAAGTATTTGAATAAATCAAAATTAACACACTTTAAGATACACACCTGGAAATGTTATAATCAAGCGATGCGAACATAAGAAGCTGAAGAAATACCGGGTTTCACTTTCATTCGCCATCACAAATTCCCACCCAAAATTCCCCAATATCGCTTTCAATTTATATAAATTTGTTAAAAATTATATAAGTAAATGCTTGATTAGAGGCAAGCATTTCTAAATCTAAATTACTTGCATTGATTCGCTTAATTACCAGAGCCCAAAATACCTACGAGGCTCTGTGAATCAGGCGGAGTTCCATTTCCGTAGCCGCAAGAAAATTCCGACAAAAAAAAACAAAATCAAAATTCAAATCAAACGCCTATTACATCACATCAACACACACTCGTAAATGCAGATTCGAAGATGCCGGGGCCCCGGCGTCTGACAAACACATGTTAATTTCCACTCATCTTTGGTCGGTCATCTTCCCGCGTATCTTGTTTCCCCTTTGGGGACCCCATTCCATTCCATTTCTTTCTACGGACCGCTCCGCTCCGCTGCTCATATTATTGATTTCTTTTGGCAAGCCAGATTTCATAATCACACGGCGCTGCTGGCTGCTGGCTGCCACTACCGATGCCGGATTATTATCAGCGCCATAAATTAATCAGAGGCACGGAGGAGCACAGCGCAGGTCGCCCATCATGTCCCATCCCGCAAGAAATGCATATGCAAATAGGTAATGGGGAATGGGAATGGGTCTGGACAGTAACCCTTTGATTTTACCGGGCAGGGAGCTGAACTTGGGGCAGGTTGTGTGTGTTGTGTGCAAGCGAGGCATTAATTTAATTTTATGTATTTATTATGCATTTTGTGTTTTCCTTTTTGTTTTAATCGTGCGATTGCCTCAAACTAGCCAAATGCCAGCGGAGAAAGTGGGAAGCCTGCAGACGCACCCAACCCAACCCACAACACTCGTACTTATACATATCTCCCAATGCAGAACCGATGGAGAACCCCCTCCCTCCATCCATCCAGCATCCACTCCATTTAGTTTTCCGCAATTTACCAAAATTTTGCATAAGTATCTGTCATCGCGATTAGTCAGAGCTTCAGCTGTCGGTATATTATAATCTGATTTGATTTGGGTATTTAAAACGTTTACAGTTTTTGATTCGGGATTGCGAAATGGTTTTCCGCTTTTGCCAAATTAACAATCGTTTATGTATTTTACATGTTTATACTCGTTTCGTCGCCCTCTCGCCAGCATTTTGATTGTGAATTTAGAAAATACTCGTATATTTGGCACTAATTTTTATGATATTTTATATAAGATACCTACCTATTTGGGATTTCTGGCGACGCTGTTTAGGCATATTATACCGCCTATCCCGACAAATATTTTCAGCGTACGGCTGGGTAGGGCAGGGACAGGCCTGAGGCGGGGTCCATCAATTTCTTTACGATGCCTATAATCACATAAATCTAAGGTTTGGTTTGGTCGGTGATTAATGTCAAATTTGCGGGTCCGTTGCGTGCTTCGACTGCTATTTGGATGTGAACACGATGCTCATCAAATGTCAGCAAGTGAGAACGCCTTATTCGAGCACTCGTATCTGCGAGTATCAAGAAATTATGGCCTACATTATTCAAGGGGGTAAATCAGCTAATTTCATATATATCATTCGAAAACAACATTATTGCCATGCATTGCTTTTGGGTTCGAACAGACTTTCTTCTTCCAGGAATCTGATTTTTAATTTACATCGTCTGATTTAATGGATTCCATTTGCTTCATCAAACAGTATGTTCCACCTTTATTTCAATGTTTATTAAAGTAATTACATTTACATAGTTTCATTGTTGTTTGTATGCTATAACATGGTTGTATGTAGAAGTACGCTCACGTTACAAATATAAGACAAGACTAACAATTTGCTCTGTCAGAGTGGGAGCGGGGAGGGTGGTGATGGGGTGGGGGGAGTGTGGTGCATGCTTAAGACTAATAAATGTGTATTCTCTCCATATTCGCATTCGATTACTTTATTTGGTGTTAATGAACAGTTCTATACTCGTTGTTGTTGGTGTTGAATATAATATATGTACCTCACTTTAAAGTTAATAATTCTAATCAATTTTGTGGAAGACTTTGCAAAGCTGATTCATATGTGATGTTTATTTTGCAAAGTCTTCCAACAAAATGAACAATTTGTGTGTGTGTTTTTATGGAGAAGCACAATGTCTCTTGCTGTCTAATAGTGTGTGCTGATCGTTTATCTATACATTTAATACTGGGTTCGACGCTTCCTTTCACACGGTTACAGTTCGCATACGCTTATGTTAGGTTCGCGGTTGCTTACACAAAATACATTTTACATAATGCAACTTAACGCTTAATAATCCGGTGCTGTTTACGTTACAAGGATATGGGACAAGGGCACAACGGACGATAGCATTTAAAACTATGGTTGTCAGAATTTCCAACTATGTGGTGGGGCATTTATGTAAAGAGAAAGTGGTATAGCTACGTAAAAACGGATACAAAGATAAGCAAAGAATAAGTGGTAGGGGGGGCAAAAACATATATGAGGCTAACAAACACTATTCATTATTCATAAAGATGTTCAGCTTTTGGTTCGCACAGATACGCGTATGTAACAAAAACTGAACATTTACAAAAATGGCCATTTAAACATTTTTAATTATAATTATAACGATTATGTAAATTGTATTTTATTTGATAAGTTTGAACGCAAAAAGTCCATCCTGTCAATCTCATGCGCTGCCAGCTACAAATTTCAACAAACTAGCATTCAATTTGCAAAATCTCTCAATTCCGTTCGATTTGGCATTTGGCAAGTTGAAATGTTTGCCTGAAATTTGTTAACATTGTTGACATGCATGGGGGATGTGACGCTCCATTTATAGATGCTTAGGACTAATTCTTAGCTATGATATATGTATAATGTATAATAGATTCATTATTCGACGAGTTTCATCAAGCATGTGACCACAAGCGGTACGTAGATGGTGTGCTTCGAAAAATAAATCAAAACTTCTCCCTCATTTGGCTCCGTGGCGGCTCTCTCTCACCAGGAAAATCCTACTAGTTTTCTCATTTTGTATTTATTTTTGAAAGCGCCTGCCGCATGCAGCGAACGGGTATCTATAATCCGTTGTTCATCAATTCAATTCAAGTGGTAAATGGGCATCAACATCAGCTTTAATCTTAAGTGTATATACTGTAAGCACGTGCGTACAGTATTTAGTGGGGGGTCGGGTCTCTTTAAGGCTAGTTATTGTTCAATTCTCAACTCAACTCGGAGGATAGACATGGACGACTATCCGTTCTGGTCTGCTCAGTGTTTCTGTTCGATTTCGTTACATTCAGTTCTTTGCTTCTTTCATCAATTCTCAACAACAAATAAATAAAATAATAACACCAGTTGGCTTGCACAAGTTGCACATAAATAAATAAATAGGTATTAACTAATAATTTGCTATTTCAAAAGGTAGGGTTTCTTGCATTGTTTCTCGTTTTTTCTTTTTTTTTTTTGTGTTTTTTTTTAATTTGCACACAGCTTGGTTTTTGGATTTTGTTTAGGTTTGCTTTGTGGACGGGTATTTCTTTCGTTTTTGCTCTTGCTTTTGCTTCTCTCCTTGCATATGTGCAACAACAAAAATTGCAGTTAAAAATGAATTTAAATTGATTAGAGTTACTTCTTGGCATTGTTGAGGCCCAGTTTACTGAGGATTTTTAAGGCATTGCGCGCAGCATCATTCTGAGACTCGTCGGAGCTCTTGCCAACGCCATGGCAGATCTGCGGCGGGTTCGTCGAGAGTGTCACAATTGAGAGAAACTCGTTGTGGTTTCCCTTAGGATAGTCCGAGAAATTAACCTGCAAAGGGTATTGATTAATATTGTGTGTAACGATTTCCCAAACGAGCTGCTGGTCTATTAGTCATACCTCAAATTCAAACAATTTGCTTAGGTACAGGAGCTGCTCCTTCATGTGCACGGTTGCGGCTGCGGCTGCACTACTGCAGGCAGCAGTATTGCTGCTATTGCTGCTCACGCCACTCGTGTTGCTGCCCGTCGATGTATTTAACGTACTCTCTGGGGCTGCCTCCATGGGCTGTGGATCGCTGCTGTTGTCGTCTGTCGTTGTGGTCGTTGTCTCCTTGTTGGCTTCCTCCTCCTCTTCTTCCTTGGTGTCTTCGCTGTCCTTGACAATAATCATTGGGTCCACTTTCCTTTTAGGTGCTGTTGGGCAAGAAAAAGGCCTGAGTCTATGGTGCCAGGGGAAAGCAAAGAATGCACTCACGTCTCTTGTGTTGACGCAGAATCAGGATACCGGGCATTGGGCCCACTGGCGTTAAGACCATGGGAATATCCGTTTCTGCAGGGCTTTCCACTACTGGCGCTGTGGTCGCTGTGGCAGTTGCTATTTCTGTTGCATTGCTATCCATGGATTCCTGTGACTCCTGGACTCCGTTCCTGTGCTCATCCGATTCCAGTAATTCCAACAGGGCTGCAGACAGAATTCAGTTAATTCGATTGATGGTAAAAGGAGAAAATTATGAACATACCCTGTGCTGCACTGCGCTTGGCCAGCTTCTTGCTGTTGCCCGTGCCGCGGGCTGTGGTTCCATTGGCCGATACTTCCATGACAAACTCGCGCCGCCTAGAGGCTTCGTTGCCATTCTTCGCTATCAGTTCGAAAATGGGCTCCTTCTCCTTGCGCGTCTGCTGCAGCTGGATGAGCTTCGTTATGGGATTCTCGGCATCGTCCAGCTCCACAGGTCTGATGGCGACATTGAGACGCTTTCGCCGCTCCGGCTTTGCCATGGACACCACCTCCGATAACGAAATGGTTGAGCCAGAGCCATTCACTGACCCATTTTTGCCGGGTGTTTTTACCTTGATGCGCCTTACTGGCGTCTGCTTGGTGGGCGTGAGTGGCGGCAACTTCTGCAGTTCTGTGAGCATCTTCTCGGCCGATCGCTTCTTGGACACCTTCTTGCCGTTGCCCTCGCCCTCGGTGACAATGCTACCCACGACGCAGGCCGTGATGAAGTTCTTCATGTGGGCCGGTCCATCCTCGCGCAGCACCTTGAAGTGAACCGTCATGTTGCGCTTGATGCCGATCTCATGCACCTGAGAGATGGGCGACTTTTTGTCGCCCTCATCCATGGAATCGTCAAGTGCCTCCTCTGACGCCGAACTTGCCTGCGTCTTGAGCACCTGCAAAGCCCTGGCCGCCGCATCGTGCTTGGCCTGCTGCAGCGTGCGCCCGATGCCAACGAACTTCTGCTTTCCCACGTACAGGGTGATCTTGCTGGGCGTGGGTGGAATTGGGGCGTAGGGCATATTGGGCCCGTGGATCATGTGAGGGCCTAGCGACGGTATCATCGTATATCTGGACGCATATTTGGGCCCAAAAGACCGCTGGGGACCATAAAATCCATGTGGATGCATGGGCGGGGAAGGAATGGGCACAAAACTGTGTCCATGTCGTGCAGGACGCAGGGCGAAGGGAGGCGGCAGGGGCTGAGGCATTGTCTGCTGCATCCCTGGCGGTGGTGTGGGCAGCAAGGAGCCTACTCCGAACTCCGGCGGCATCAGCGGATCGGTGGGCTGCATCTGTGTGGGATCCAGCAGGTAGTAGGTGCGCTGTCCCAACTTCATGGCTAGCGCATTTAGCTCCACGGTGGGTGTGATGTGTGTGCGTACGGTGCTGGTTTCTTCGCTGCGGCGTATCTTCGGAGGCGGATGTTTGTACTTGGTCTCCTCTATGGCCCTGGAGGCGGCCATGTGCTGGGCTTTCTTTATCTTGAACCCATCCGCTGAGTACTCCTCGTCGCCCAACTTCAAGGTGACCGTGAAGGTCTTGCAGTGGGCCGGTCCCCGTTCGCCCGTCAGCCGGTACTGGTGGGTGATCTTGTTGTACCTGGCCAGCTCGTTGACCAGGCACATGGGCGTCTTATCCTTGCCACTGCGTCCCGAGCTGCTGTCCTCGTTGGACAGCGTGCCCGACGCATCGATGTGCTCTGTGCTGCTGCATTCATTAACTGGTGGCGCCGCCGTCTCCGTTGTGCTTGCCTCCCCAAGCGGCTGCTCCGATTGTGGCAACTCCTCCAAACATGTGGGTTCCGTGACTCCCGGTAGGATGCTGCTGTTGTTCACACACTCTGGAAGATCCGCTGCTGCTGCTGTTGCCGCTGCTGATACCGCCACTGCCTCGGGGACTATTGCTGGGGCCATGAGTGGTCCGACTTTGGCACTGCGATATGTTGTCTGAAGGATGGCCTTAGGCGCATAGCCGTTGCTGGTGCCGCTGTTGGCGATGTAGTGACCGCCAGTGTTGTTGTTGTTGTACTTGGAGGGCAGCTTGGGCTGACTCATTTGGTAGTAGTGGGGCGGGTGGGCTGCATAGCCGCCGATGTGGGCGGCCATGTGGTGCGGCGGTGGAGGAGGCGGCAGCGGATTATACGAGAGAGCGGCCGGATTGCCAGCCAGAGGGTTGTAGGCCTGCGGCGGAGGCTGGTTGCATTTACCCACGTGTCCGTTGCTGCTGCTGAGATGCTGATGCTGCTGCCGGATCTTTTGCATTTGGTTGTTATTGTTGCTGCTGCTGCTGCTGATGTTGCTGTTGTGGTGATAGGCAGGTCCAGCCGCCACGGCAACGGCGGCAGGATTCGACGGCGTCTGCTGCTGCTGTGCGTGAAGATGGTGATGGTTCAGGCTGCGAACGAGAACGAAATGGCAGATCTGTTAATCGATCAAATGGAAGCTAGCTGCAGCCCTGGAGGGCATGGAACGCGATGGCTTTGCGGTTAAGTCAGCAAACAATGCATGGCAAAAGGATTAGAGAGGCAATGAGGAATGCTGATGGACAAAAGTACATCAACTGACATCTGGGAAAAACAAAAACACCAACACGCAGCCCGACCCAAAGTCCTTTTCTGTTGCTGATGCTGCTGCCTCCGCACCCCAGTTCAACCCCTGCCCCTGCCTCTTTTTCACTGTTGTTGTTGTTGTTGTTTCTGCTGCTGCTCCTGCTGCAGAGGACAACAGACAACAGCGGTGAGGCAGAACAATGGGCGAAATCCCAACAAAGCACAAAAGCCGCATTCTCTTACGCATCGTGTCATTTTTCGCCAACTGTCAGTTTCAATTGAGACGCACCTACCGCGACACCCTGACGTCTTTTCGGAATTGGGCATTTGAGGGGCCATCAGGGACGGTCTCACTCTCAGTCGCAGTCTCAGCATCACAAATCAGGAGCCTAACTGCCACACATACAGACAGACAGACATACATACACATACTATGCTGATCAGTTTCATAAGACACGGACAAATTTGGGCAATTTTTAATCGCCAAATCAGTTGAGAAAGAAAAAGCCTTCAAATTAACATTGATATGGACAATTAGAGATAAAGATCAGCTCCGCTGGGATGCAGCAGATGGATGACCCTTAGATGGGATTTATCTGGATTCTTTTTGAACCACTCACAAACCAATTTAAATCTTCCATTATTATGGAATTTTCTACACGATTAAAGGTTAGATGAACAGTTTAACATCAACTAATTCAAGGAACCTTTGCACCTTTGAGACACAGAATCAGAATCAAAACCAACTGTTGCATTAGATTGTGCACAGCTCTTTTCTATTACAAAAAACATCTAATCTTTTCAACTCTTACTCGACATGGACTTCCGCATTTCATGACGTACTGAAATGTACGCTAAGAACTGTGACCACTAACGCGCTGTTTGACATAAATTCATGAGCGATCCGAGTGCCAGGCAAAACGCAACTGAAGACAGAACGAAAAGTTCAGTTCAAGTTGATGCAAAACATATGATCGCAAAGAATACAAAGACGAAGGGAGACCAGAAAGCGATCCAAGAAATCCGAACGATCCTCACGAACGTCAAGGATAATTGCAGCCCAGTCGTTGCTGCTCCTGCTCCTGCTTCTGCTCTGCTCAAACCCGTTATCAAACGGAAGTCATGCTGAGCGCGAAAGAACAAAGAGCCACTGAAATTATAATTTATGAGTTGAGAAAATGGGATGATGAGTCTCACACCGATTGTCAGTGACAGGAATTAACATAATTGCCGCATCGCATAAAGCCTAGACACGCTGGCGAGTCGGGCAAAGCGAGGCGAGGCAAGGCAAGCAGCGACGATGCTGGGGCCAGTCAAGGGTTGGGTCTCAGATAGTTCCAACTTGAACTCCAGCTCAGTATATTCTTCTATTATTTGCTATGTTTACCGTGGATGATGATGATCGCGGTGTGGAGTCGGCTGCTGTTGTGCCTGCATCTGGGGAGCACCGGCCATAGATGCCGCGGCTGCCAGATGCTGCTCCAAGCTGGGATGCATCTGCATGTGAGTGTGGCCGTGCGTGAGGTGATGGGCGCGTATGTGGGGCGCTGATCTGGCGGCGTGCACATTGTGCTGCATGTTGGGGCTGGGCTTCCTTCGAAGAGAGCGATTCTAGCGGGATGAGCGAGTGCAGCTGCAATAGAGGTAACACGAGTCATTTTCATGAGATACGCACAGAGAGACAGGGAGGGACAAAGCAATGTTTTCATAAGGGAGAGGTGTCTCTTTGTTTGGCAATTGTGCAGACTTTCAGCAAGAATGGAAAAACAACGTGCCGCCTGTAGCTGCATTGGCACTGCACGCATGCAAATGCAACGAGAGCCACGACGACACCAATGACGGCGACGATGTGCCTAAATCAAATTGTGACAGGCTACAGCAAGGGCTAGGGGTAGGGCTAGGGGTGGAGATAGTGGTAGCGGCAGTGGTTGAGGCGCTGCCAAGCAACCACCGTTTCTTGAGCATAAGAACATTCATAGCTGCCCGCCTGCCTGCCAGCCTTCCTGCCCATTGATCGATGTACGTGCAACTATCTTGCAGACTGTGATGCACTTTTCTAGTTCTGTGGTAGTTATGTTGCTGCTGAAATCGGATAAAATGCAGCTGCATTTTGGAATTGTTTTCGAAATCAGGTTCCAGGCAGGATCGCTGCGTTCTCAACGTGCATTGAACTGTTCATTTCGAAGTATGAATCGGAATCGGACGAAAGACAGATACTCAGAACGACGGAACCCCCCTGCTGATCGAATGCAGACGCCGCTGATCATATGGCATAACAGTTTGCATTCGCTTTCCTTTCTGCGCGCAGAGTTCTACTACAACCACAACAACATACCTTCTGTTGCCGTGGGCAATGTATTTTTGTACTTTACTTGCTCCTCGTCTGCAGAAGGCAAACACGAACGCAATTTATTGAGAACAAATACTGCTCCTCAATTTGGAGCGTATTATCGGGTGTATTAATAAGCTTAACGACGCTGACTACGGTTGCTACTGGCCCCTGTGACGCTGTTTTCATTCACAACTTTAAAAAACACTTTACAACTACTTTAACACTTAAATTAAATTGATAAACCTATTTTGCACTGTGGCTGCGGATGAAACTCGAAAAACAATGGCCATTAGGGATGCTAAATATGTTGCATCAATATATCGATATCTTTTCGGACTGGCGAAAACATATATATTGCGGGATATTGTGGGATATCATCAACAGAACTACTTTTCAGAGTTCAGAGTCAAATATATATATTTTTTTTCTGTTTTTTACGTCGTATTATTGTACCAATCGATGCACTGTGTGGTGTTAAAAATATATCGGTATTTTTGTGCGATAAGCGAAAAAATTGGCGCCTTATTTTAAACGATTTTAACAATTACAACTGTGGTTGATCCATCCTAATTTTTGTAAATATTTTTATACTCCCTATTTAACATATATTTTTACCTATTTCAATAACCAGAATATCTAATTAAAGGGTATTTTGTTAATGTGATGGAGAATTTGCAGAACTAAGTAAATACTGAATAAACCAGAAAAAACATTCGTTGTGCGAATCGTTTATTTCAAAAATACTTTTCATATAAAAACATTACCTAATGATGAGAGGTGAAATTCTAAGAAGTTGGTGCATTGACAAAAGCACCCGCGAAGAGGATGTTCTTCTTATTCCAGATGACGTAAAGGAACGGGCGATCCGCTTGGAACTGCAACGGGAATGTCATCATGCGAGTCATCATGATCATTCCGGTGGCTGCAGCAGCCTCTGTGCCCTCCTCATTAACTTCAATTGTCGCCTTGTGCAATACCTTGGACACAAACACACCTTCGGGAGATTCCAGCAAATTGTTAAACTCTGCGCTCTCCGTAAACATTTTCTTGATGCCAAGCTGAAATGAACAGGGAGAAATTAAATGTATGTTAAATAAATAACAGGTGAGGTCATCGCACGTTAAAAGGTACGCGATCGATAAGATAGACTAAGGTGTGTCTCATGCGATTGCAACTAGAATTATATAACTTTATGGAATCGTGTTGTGATACATGATCTTAAACACGAACCGCAGGCTGCGTCAATTCGTATGGGATGACCACAATATCGAAGCTTATCTGAGAAATTTTTAAACCGATAAGCTACTAAAAATATCGTTCCGAGATAAGACTGCCATATATACAATACTTCAAACGTATTCCATTGATTGGGGGCGGTTTGCAATTAGAGTAGCAACGTGTCATAAAGCAGGTAATATTTAGGTTACTTTCTCTGCACTCACCTCTTTCAGCTTGTCACCCAGCTCGAGGGAGTAGTCAACTTTGAACTTAGGGAATTTGACTTGCACCTCCTCGACGTCCAGCTTTCCGGCCAAATCGATCAAGTTCACTGACTTGAGTTTTTCGGCCAAGGCCTTCAGGCCTGTGCGTTCCTGTGGCAACAGCACAAACATGGACAAATCGGAGTCCTTGTACGGCATATCCAGGGCCGTGCAGCCCAAGTCCTCAAAGAAGCCATAGCCGAATTTAGCCTTCTGATTCATGTAATTAACTTTAACGGCCTCCTCTTCGCCCACAAAGAAGTCGTCCTCTGCTGTGCCCTGCTCGTTGAATTTGTGGGTCCAGCTCCCCTTGAAGTGGAGCGCGTTCAGAAGGACAAGGCGTGTGTTGTCCGTGAAGCTGTCGGCACTAACCAGCTCAGTTATCTTGCCCTGGGTCTTGGCATTGACCCAGCTGTTAATAGCCTGAGCAGCTGCATCGCTGAGAGCAAAGTTGATGGACTCCGCCTCGGAGTGGTACTGCTCCTTGATGGCCGCCTCATAGGACTGTTTCAGGACCTTGCCCTGTTGCACATACAGCTTATTGGCGACACTCAGGAGGCTGCTGTTCTTGTACTGCTCCAGCACAAACTGGAAGGTTTGCGCCACCTCCGGGGGGAAGTTGGACACGAAATGCAAGGCCTTGGCGATCTCATCGGCGGTCTCGCCCTGGGCACCGGCAAACGCCAAAGCAATGCAGGCTTGTATGGAGAAGGGCGAGAAAACGATGTTCTCCTTGACGCCACCTGCGGCCAGCAGTTGGAACAGCTCACTGGTGAATCGGGCACCGCCCCTCGCAAATTCCAAATTGAAGTCGAACATATTGGCTGATGATGGCTGAATATTTGTGGGTGTACCGGCTGCGTAATCACAAAATAGATTGTTTGTACTTGTTGTTTTCTGTATCAACGTGCGCGTCCAACACTTACCGCTGTCTACACTGGAATGCCTTTAAAGCTGTTCGGGGCCACAACAAAAGTGAAAACAAACACCCATCCGGCTCTGCCTATACGGACAGATGAGTCACCATTATAACTGAAGAGGTGGCGCGTCACCTGCCACTAGTTGATCATTTTTCTTTTAGGGGTTTTTTTCCGGATGCCTTTAGTAATGCCAACTAAAAATAAGGGCCAGGAAATCTAGGAAACCCCAGAACAGCCTTTGGCGTGGAGATTAAGATGCATCAGATTATGGGAAACAAATAAATAAAAACTTGAAAATAATTAACAAACAGCTGTTTTGTCGTGAATTAAAATCTAGGGATGGCATTATGAACGCGCGTACTTTGAATTTCATTTCTTCTTCTACCTGTGCACATAATTTCTACGATTCGATTTACTCTGGTTCCACACTGGTTCTTACCTCTCTCTCTCTGCACACTTTTTCCCACGTTATCTCTCTCTCTCTCTGTATACCCTTTCTGAGGATATATTAAAATGGCTCAGGTATATGTCACGCACAGAATTACGCTCGAATTCGATAGTCAGTCTACCATATAATATAGTAATGAACTAGAGAGAGTTTGGGGTTTTCCGTGAAGTGGAGTAGAGTGTGCTCGCGGCATAACATTAACTCTGAATGAAAGAGATGGACTGTGGTCAAACTGTAAGGGTATATCTAACTCGACGCTGGCTTATCGTTTTTTTCCTTCCATAGAAATTGGGTTCTGTTGTTCTCGCACATTCGTAATATACTCATCGTTAGTTGGCGTTTTATCACCTGTATATTGGGCAGTATATATACAATGTTCCAACTGCTTTGCTCGCATTCCATTCCTTAGTTCACTTCTGACAGCACCTCCAAACGAAAGCGAGAATATTCATAATTAACACATAATGAGCTGTTTCCTAGATTGTTTGTTGTGCCCGTGTGTAGTGTGGGCGGGCCTAATCGGCGGAGCCATCTATTTCCTAAAGTAAGTCGGTCAAATCGTCATTTCCAACAAGAACTTTGCATGAAATTACGAAATTTGTAATCAGTAACACCCGCGATTATGGGCTGCCAATTGTTGATAGCAAGTGTCTGGACAAATAATGATAATGTTCGATGTTCGACCTTTCCAGGGATTACATGCAGGGTGGCCAATTCAAAAAGGACACCGATGAGACGGGTAAGGTGTTCATTGTGACTGGAGCCAACACCGGCATCGGCAAGGAGACGGTGCGGGAGATAGCCAAACGCGGTGGAACTGTTTACATGGCTTGTCGCGATATAAACAGATGTGAACGGGCCCGTCTGGAAATCGTTAGCGAGACCAACAATAAAAACATATTCTCCCGAGTGTTGGATTTGAGTTCGCTGGACTCCATTCGCGAATTTGCTGCTGGGTGAGATCACTTGAAAGCATATCAAAGCGTGTTCTAATAAGTCTTCTCCCCATTAGATTCAAGAAGGAGCAGGACAAACTTCATGTCCTCATCAACAATGCCGGAGTCATGCGCTGTCCCAAAGCATTGACAAAGGATGGCTTTGAAATGCAACTGGGCGTAAATCACATGGGCCACTTTCTGCTCACAAATTTGCTGCTGGATGTACTGAAGGTACTGACGATTATAATAGATATCTCATAGCTGATTGTCATTAACCACGATTATTTTAGAAATCGGCACCTAGCCGCATTGTCGTCGTTTCTAGCTTGGCACACACGCGTGGGGCCATCAACGTAGACGACTTGAATAGCGAAAAGTCGTATAGTGAAGCCGACGCCTATAGCCAGAGCAAATTGGCCAATGTCCTATTCACCCGCGAGCTGGCCAAACGTTTGGAGGGTACTAGAGTCACGGTGAATTCCCTGCATCCTGGTGTTGTGGACACTGAGCTGGGGAGGAATTGGGCCTTCTTTCAGACCAATTTTGTGAAGTAAGAGATACTTGAACTTATCAATAGGGCTGCTGTTAATCACAATTTATTGTAGGTACTTCCTGAAGCCTCTAATTTGGCCGCTCCTGAAGACTCCTAAGAGTGGAGCACAGACTTCCATTTATGCAGCACTGGACCGTGACTTGGATGGAGTTACAGGACTGTACTTTAGCGACTGTAAGCCAAAGGATGTGGCCCCTGCTGCCAAGGACGACAAAACTGGAACATTCCTGTGGGAAGAGAGCGAGAAATGGACGGGTCTAGTGTCGTCTAAGTAGGATTAGAACAAGCGGTTTATTCAGACACGCGCAGCATTTTCCAACTGTAATACTAGTTGCTCTCCTAACGATTATATTAGTTCAATAAATACAGATTTGCTCAGCATTCTTCAAGCGTGTTAGTGCAGATAAGTTCAATTACTATGCCATATACACATATTGTAAGTAATTTCAGTTTGCCTTCTCCGTGGCGCCCGCATTGATAAATATCCTGGAGTGGAGGGCGTGGGTCGTGGGCTCCTTCTTTTCGGACGCATTGGACACTGTGTTGACGTAAGTGTATTGCATAAAGAAGCCCAGCATGACGTCAGTGCCAGACGACAGCTCAGCTGCTGGTGTGAACTGCAGTCTAATCAGGACCTTGTTGCCCTTGCGCCAGACAATAAACTTGGGCTCTTCGGTTGGCAGCTGCACGTCCTCGTCGAACTCCTTGGAATCGTCCCGTTGGCTTAACACAAACTCGCTCTCGAGTGGCACAATCTCAGCATTGGTCACATCTTCCACTTCGCGCTTCACTTCTCGGGTCGAATTTTGTCGGGACAGGGTTAGTCCGATGGACCGCACCAGTGGAGACGATGTGACCGCCTCCTCCTTAATCTTGCAGGCCTGTTGGAAGGCCTCAGAAGTAATAAGTGACTCCTCCGGTGGAAGTGCACTCAGAATCCGTATAGTCATGTCGTACATGGTTGGATTCGAGAACTTCAAGAGTATGGCATTGGCCTTGCCCGGCTGGAGCGGTTGCTCGCAGCGCACCATGAGCACCTCGGGAACATGGTAGCTGGCGAACAGCTGTATGCGATACTTGATCGATGTCGGATGATACTCCGGCTTTATCAGATTATGCTCGCACTGGCGGCAACGCAGCGATCGCTTGATCCAGAGCGAACGTCGCTGCGGATAAAGGTTGCTGACAGCAGTGGGCTGATCTCCCGGCTGGCCGTGGCGCTGCGCAATCGTTGTTATGTTGCGAAGATTCAGAGGCTCCGTAAAGATGTCCTCTGGAAGGCCACCCACATCTGCAGTGGCCTCGGCTGGCGTGATGCTGATTGCCTTCGCCTTCGGAATACTTTTTTCGTTCCACCCGATCTGTCGGCGAATCAGGGACACAGTGAGGCCAGTGCGATCGGTTAGGCTGGGGAACTTGTGCTGCTTGGGCGCTTTGCGTCGCATAAACTCCAGCTTTTCCTGCTTCTCCTGCAGCACTATCGACTGGTAGTAGTCTACGAGAGTGTTAAAGCGCGCCTGGTACAGGCACTCGTTGTCCGGCCAGGTGCCGGAGGCCACACCCTGGTCTGGTATGCCGACGTCACGCGTTGTCCAGCGGCATGACAGACATGACAAATAGTATATCTTCTTGGTTGTGGGTATGGCCGACGGCTTGCTGCTGGCCGTAGCTGGGGGTGTGGCTGCCGCAGAAGGTGACTCCTTACTTTCTCCGTCCTTGGTCTCCTCAGACTTGCGCACCACTGGAACGGTGGCGGCGCGGGCCGAGAGCGTGTGCTGGCAGCATGGACAGTCGAAGCAGTTGGCACAGCAGTTCTTCTTGTGACGCGCTTCCGAGGAAGGGATATTCTCCAGGCAATTGGAGCAGAAGTGCGACTCGATTTCGTGGCACACACAAAATCCGCATCTCAACTTTGGGCAGTGGCGGCAGAAGAACAGCTTGTTGATGGGGTTCAGTATGCCGCAGGAGCACGCGTACTTGACGGGACTCGGTTGCATGAAACTCATTTCTTCTGCTAATATTAATTTAATTTTTTATTTGTAAATTTTCAGAGTCTTCCTCTTCAGTGGATTTATACCTCTTTTTATAATATACCTTATATATATACCGCAAATATACGGTAAATATACCTTAAATATACCGTAAATATACCGAAGAAAATCAAATTCTCAATTTTGATATTCGATTTAATATTACTAGCTAGTTAGTATATATAAATACAAAATATAATTTTATCAGATAAATAAATCAATTCCATGGATTTGGCGCTGATTAAAATTGGAACGATTTAAATTTGTAGTACTCAATCAATCTAATAAATGCGCAATAAAACATTTATATTTAAATATATGTACATGTATACTTTCAGAAGTTATTCTGGGACGATAACAGTACGTTCGAAAACTTTGATTTGATGTGTATGCTGCAATGTATTATTTAAATGTTTATGTCATCCACTGATCTCTATAATAAATTTATAATTCATTAATGGAAAATGGTCAAGTAAAACGAATAAATTCTACGTTGAAGCGCCTAAGTGGTCAATTAGCACCAGACTGACAAATTCGCTAGACATTGCATGGGTCATAGAATTTTTTCAATAAAAGGTATAAGGAGTTGATCATCAAAATCATTTCATTCTATGAGTAAATTTCCTCTTAACTAAGAACACTTAACAACTCAGCAACTACTTGAAATATATTTTGATCATCTAACAAATCCAGTGAGGCAGCTTCATTTTTTTCGAACACTATTTCAATTAAAGCATTGTGGTTGACCTTTAAATTACAAGCCATAAATTTAAATATATAATTTGGGTATATATTTTTAGAGATGTATATATGTATAAAATATTTAACAGTATAAGGTACTTTTTTGGTTTGCGACTCGACTAATAAAATAATTAATCCCTATTCTAATGCATAACGATCATCTTCAGTCTGTACTCTCGCATCCGGTTTGGAGCAGCACCGTCTAGCCAAAGAAGTTGGGCACGAACAGCTTCTTGCGCTTGGTGCGGGTCTGTCGGACGCGAACGAGTGGAGTGAACTTCACATTGGAGGGCAGGGTACCATCGTGGAGGCTGGCGTCTTGGCGACGAGTGTTGGTGTTGGTGCCCGTGGAGACGGGCGCAATGTACCCATCATCCACATAGTAGTAGCCCGGATTAAGTTTCTTCAGGCGGTTCTCTGTCAGTGGCTTGCCATAGGTGAGGGCGTAGGAGCTGCCGCTGTAACTGTCATAGCGATCGGTGTCATAGTTCTCATAGCTATCCACGTCATAGTAAGTGGGCTTGGCGCTGCACTGGGACAGCTTGCAGGCGATAATGCTGAGCAGAAGACAGGCCCATGTGTACAGTTGCTATAGAGAGATGAGGTGAGTTGGGAGTTAGTTGGGTTTGCTGACGAAAGCTGTAGCACGGTGGTAGCTTACCGTAAGATCCATTGTGGGTTTCGAACTGGTTTTATCTTTTTAAATCCAAAATTTATTGTAATCCTTTGGGTGTTTGGGTTGCTTGTGGCTTTGCTGTGAATGCTTTGAACGCCTGTTGAGTTCTGTGTGCTTAGCTGTGAAGAACGCTTCCTTTATATACGAATATGCTGCCCTGTTCGCACCCAAATGTGAAAATTTTGGCTCCGGGCAGAGCCGATGCTCCAGCTATGACGCAAGTCTGGAGGAAACGCTTGGCGGCGGCTGCTGCGACAAATCGACAATCGATAAACGACGCTCGGACATTTCAATTCTCTTTCATTGACGCCATCCGTCCTCTGGTTTTTGCGCATGTGCCGCCGCTGTGACTTCGATTCGACACGAATCGTTAGGATCGTTGTGATGGGCTGTTGTCTTATCACTATGTGAATCACTTGATCGAAAGGCTCTAATTGCCGGTTGCAATGTTTCGGTTAGCAGGGAACGAGTCAAGTTTGATTTGGAAAACTTTTTACAATGCGGAAAGATACGAAGCCCAAAAATCCCCCACTGTCTGGCTTTGTTTCTCAAACATACATATTAATTATATGCTTTCCAAATGTCTATCGGAGTCGAGTTCGGAAAGATACCTGGACGGGGACCGGGCGGAGTTTCTTAATTAATTATATTAATACGTTTTATTTATAATTATTTGTTTTCTATACTTTGACGTCAAACGAAAGTTGAGAGCGAAAGAGAGTACGGAATTATACGATCTCCTTAAATTCCTTTATTGCTTGACGTAGTTTTACTAATTTATTGTGTTGTTTGGTTACTTATTATTCCATCAAGTTCATGTCTAGGGTGAACGATGCCCAGACGATATTAATTAGATATTTTCAGCTGGTGTGTCATGTTTTCTTCAGGGCATATGGCGCATGAGTAATTTGTGTACCAGGCGCTGTGGTCGGGAGTGGTAATTCCGTGTGGTCACCCATATCGTTGTAATGTCGTGCCCCTCAGAGCTTTTATTATAAATCAGCACAGAGGCGCAAATAGAGTTGGCGCCTTCCAAAAATATCCCAGTGACTTAAAAATAATTAACCACAACCGTGGTACATGCTGCCTCGGCGTGAAAATGTTGCTGACTCAGGAAGTGAGAAATCTGGATTTCTGGAAAAATATGAGCATATGATCGTGGACTTTAAAATAATTAGCGAATGTGGTCAATCCGTGGTAGGGGCCTGAGTGTTAGTCGCAGCTGCCAAAAAGGGGGCATGACTTCATAGTTGGGGGACGGGACCTCGTAAATGAATCACAAACACCAAACAAAAAATATCGAAGAATCTGCAACAAATTTGATTAGTCTTCTGTAAGCCATCGTTAAGCAGATGAAACTAATTCCGAAATAGACTGATGCTTGGACATAAACAAATTCGCACTTAATTATCTTCAGGTTTTCAGAAGATTTGCTCGAGACGGCTCGACGGTAAATATAAACCTGCTAATTTAATAAATTTATAAACAATTTATATAAATATACAATTCGCAAGCCCGTCCCAGCCATAACAAAATGTTCGTTGTTTTCCGCAACATCACATCTTTTTCCACGCAAAACCCCGCATTGAGTAAATATTTTTGCCAACTCCAAAATCAACGAAAACAGCAGAAAGGTGTGAAAATTGGCAGAGAAAAAGAAAAACATTCGCAATGAAATCGAGTTCAGCTTGCATTGCGTATACGCACGATTGGCTGCACTGGGACTGAGGCGGAGTCGAGTTTATTGACTGCTCTGGTAGCACGTTTTTTCCAGCACGCTTTTGTGTCACACCCCCACAGATTCTTGAAGGTTGGTGCAAAATATCAGACGCCCTGGCTAATTTATGCACGTCGTACGACAAACATTTTGAAGTCATCAGCCCTCCAGCTGCTCGGTAAATTTCCTTTGACTTGACTTCTTAGATGTTAGATTTCATTTGTTGTTGAGTCAATGTGGGAATGTAAATATATAAATTTGCCGTCTTCCATTAATATAATATTTATTTTGGCACCATTTTCGCTCATTCAATTTCTGCTTTTACCGCCTTATGACTGGTGTGAATTTTTTTTACAATGAATTATGGAAAATTTCATGTCTGCCACCCGAGCGATCAATGGATTTTGGCGTTTTGACCTGCGCCAAATCAACACAGTGCTTGGAAACTAGGAAGTAACGTATAATTTATAGACTTTTGTTTGGAATCTTCTCAGTTTCTCATGATAGACAGAGCTAGATAATGGTTGCTATGGATATTAAAACTGGCTATAAAAGCTGGATGACTAGAAGATCTATTGAAGCTGGTACTTTCCTTGACATTCATGGAAAGGAAAGGGTGTTGCAGCGTTAGTTAAGTGGAGCATGTTTCTGTTTCTTCTTGACCGCAACCAAAGCAAACACATGGGAGCCATGGAGTGCAAAATTCCTGATATCCTAACCGATTAGTCAAACAGGTACGAAAACAAGGGAGCCACTGGCAAAGCTGTGCAAATAAATAGCTGGTAATCGCTTAAGCATACGTATGTACATATGCATATTTATGAGAAGCTTGTTTGTTAGGCCTGCTTAACTCTTTGAGCACGATCTATTGAGAGCTCCAGGTGGCTAAGGCCGGAAGAATGATCGACGTATTCGTTGCTACGCTGTAAACGACCCTCGAAAACAGCTTACAAACAAACACGATTACTTCCTTGTTGACAAGATAGTTTGGAAAGCAACAAAAATGTGACAGCGTAAGCCTTTTATTAGCGACTCACGTGTGAATCGCAGCCGATTGAGCGTGCCCTAAGGTATAGTCCAGTCAATTGCCGGCGCAAGGGTTGACTTGGCCAACCAGCATGCCAGTCGGAAAACTCAGCAGCTCTTTCAACTAAATGCCAGGACACGCTGCCTCAAGTGCGTCACTGGCGTTTTAACACTTAATTATCGAGATATTCCCCATCATGCTAGGGCCGGGCCGGTGTATCGTACTTTGTCCACAACAGGTATATTCCACAGCATCGATATGCGTCTCTGCTAATAGTTGCAATTAAGTCTCGATTAGCAGTGTGTCTAATGAACTGACGACTGTGCGCCACGCTTCATACAGTTTGAGAAACGTTTTATAAACGTGTTTTCGGCAAACATGTGCCCACATCACAAGACCAATCATATAGTGTTTCGGTTTCATTCACTAGGCAACTTAGTATAGCTTATAACAAGTAACATGCGGAAACAATATGATGCTACTTTTTCTGCTTCAGCATCAGATGTCCCTTGGGCTTCAATTTGTTCTCGATGATGCGCTGCTTCTCTGTGGCAGCCGCGATTCTCTGGCGTTCGTGCCGCTGCTTCGCAAACTCCAGCTCGCCGCTCAGCTCGACGATTTTGGTGGCGATCTCTTGTTGCCTCAGCAGGCGTTTATTCTGGTTGGACTAGAACAATAACCATATTAGTTGGCAATTCGGATGTGACAGTGGCAGTGGCTATATACATACACCCAATGGCGTCGGTCGTCCATCAAGGAACGTGTAGTCGGGCAAATTGGTAAGTGGCCCGAATGCATTTGGATTCTCTGGAAGCCCCTTGTCTTCACGCCATTTCTGGTCAATGGCACGAGTGGCGGTGACAGCGACATACCGCTGGGCTGTTGCGGGTAACAGAGTGAATTATTATGCCTGTTTCTGATACGAGACTCACCAATGATTTTGCTTGAAGTGGCAAGGCACAGCTTGGTGATTTGCAGCATTATATTTTGTTGATCAGCGGCTAAAACCAAAAATACGTAATTGACATAACCAAACAGCTGGTAGCAGAGTGGCCGTGTGACTGGCCCTTAGAAATATACCAAAATATACCGTATATACAGCAAACGATATACGATACCATTAAAATGCTGGTTTTGCGCAGTTATGCGATATTGTAATCGATGCTTTATCACCCATCGATAACAGCCCACACTTTATATGATAGTGAAAAAATTAATTAACAAATAATTTAAGTGGGTCATAACTGAAATTAATAATGTCAACCAGAACGAATACTATTGAGCGCCATGGAAACGGCAGCGCCAAATCATCCACACTGAAAGAAATATGCGCGCGCGCCATCACAAAATCCGAATGGGAGGACAAGGTAAGAAAGAATCTTCCGGAGCACCGACCTGTGCACCAAAGTACGTGTGCAGGGCTGGATAACCATGAACGAACCCATGATCTTTGACTTTTGCAGGAGGAATTCCTAGATGTCATCTATTGGTCCCGACAGGTGTTTGGCATTATCCTTGGTGTCATCTGGGGCATTGTGCCGCTCAAAGGCTTCCTGGGTCTTGTGCTGTAAGTAGCTGGGCTATAAATAGCGCTGCTCATATTCATATCGAATGCATGAACTTTTGTCCACAGTTTCGCCGGCATCAGCTGCGGCATTGTCTACCTGTACGCCATCAACTTTCAGAATGTGGACGAGGAAGCGTACGGCGGTGTTTGGGAATTGGTGAAAGAGGGATTCATGACATCGTTTGCCGGATTCTTGGTGACGTGGATCATTTTCTACACGGGCCTGCACTACGACTCGATAATGGCGGCAAAGTCCTCATAATAAACTTCCCAGCCATTCGACGCCGCATCAGAGCATTAAACAATTCCAGAGTCCAATATCAATACTACTATTCCCGCAGATCCAGTTGCGAAGCCAAAATAAGCTAACCCGTTTTGTCCTTTTTTAAACTCAGTGTAGATTGTTAAACTTTAGTGAATTACTATCATGTGCGCATTTGAATGGTTGCCAGCTGTTCTGTATCATCGCCAGACGGAGATTTTTCTGTGAAAGATCCATCCCGGTCAGCGGCACTACTTGAGAACCAGAAACAATATATATATTTGTGTATGTATGTATGTATATCTAGAGTGCAGAAAATGGGGACACAATTTGTTACGGCGTTTTATTACAAATATTGTTCTACAGTTAAAAGGTAGCTGACAGCTATGGGAAATGCTAGTACTCCATGGCCACGGGCTCCGAGCCATTATGCGATGTCCCGTTTTGCCCCAGGTCCTTCTCGTGCTGGAACTTCTCCGGCAGCTGCCCGCTCTGTAGTATTTGTGACAGACGCTCCACCTCTGCCAGAGAACTGGCCCGCTTGATGGCCTCGCGGATGCGCTGCATATCCTCCGGATTGGCAAAGCGACCACCATCAGAGCCCCTGCCTTTGCCGCTACTCGCCTCGGCTGCCAGTGCTGCGGCAGCGCTCAGTTTTGACTTTTTGGTAACCTCCCTAAGCATGTCTTTGCCCTGCTTGGTGCGGAAGAACTCCTGGGCCGCTTGCCTGTCTTTTTGCTTTATCTTCCGGAAATCGAGCAGGCGCAGATGTGGAAACTTGTAAGCCATGTACTCGCGATAGTGAGTCTTTGTGGAGACCGGGTTGATGAGCAGGCATATGGTTTCCAGCTTGCTGAACGCAGTGAGTGGCTCCAGGTCACTGAGCTCCTGCAAGTTATTGCCCGTCAGAATGATGGAGCTCAGATTGGGAACGACGGCCTCGAGGCCGTCGCTGATCCGCAAGATGCGATTGTTGTTCAGCAGCAGGCACTTGAGACGCGGCAAATGCGGTAGATTGTCCAGCTTCCTCAAATCGTTGTCCGACATGTCAATGGTGTCGAACTGGTCCAAAGTAGCACCAAGATTTTCGATCTGTGGAATTTTGTAGCCGCGCAAATCGAGCTCCCGCTCCCTGCACGGATTTATGTATTGCATGGACTGGTTTATCAACTCCGGCGTAAGCTTCACCATCGTGGCAGTTAATATTTGCACTACTTTACTCAAAAATTGCTTTCAAATTTACGATATTTTGCTTTTTTCACAAAAAATTACAGTAATAAAAAACGCCGCTTCAGACGCGTGCAGTGTGACCGCGGACTGATAAAATATACCATCTGACCTTCAGAAATATACCGAAATATACCTTCTCATTTTTATAATATACTGTAAATATACCGAAGAAAACGGTTCTATCGATCTTTGAAAGTAAAATGCAGATGTAAGTTAAGTTGTTTTCCATTTAATTTGAATTTCAATAGATTACAATGATTTTTTAATTGCTTAACCATAATGAACACGTTAAGTTTTTCGTATTTTCGTTTCGTGTGTGTCTACGTTGAATGGCAAACAATTGAGCCAACTATGGGAATATCGGGCAACACTCTAAACTCGAAGTGCGTGTGTTCGGTGGAGGTGGACTGGGTCAAACTCTGGATAAAACTTTCCGTGTCGTTCGTGCAAACTACTTGATCTTGCTGTCAGTGTCGCGTATATAGTAGTAGTTTTACTGTAATTTTAAATGCATTGAGTAATTCGTTATCGTTCACATACAAGTAAATTCTTAGCGTAAATTGTTAACTTTGTAGAAAAAATCAGAGTTTTCTCAGTAAATAAATGCATACGTTCTTTTGTCGCAAACGGCGCTTGAAAAATTTGAAACGGATTGTCGTTTTAATACTACCTATGTATGTATATATGTATATGTACGTGTATGTAGTTGTAAGGAAAATGAAAATTGTTGAAATGAAAAACGATAAATACGTGTATTTGGAAGCAGTTATAAAAAATATTGTATTTCATTTAGATTTGTTTAGGTGTAGGCCATTAAAATAGTTCTTATTTGCACGCAATCGATCTACATAAAGTGTGTATATCAATCTCTCCATATCATATATCTCATATCTATATCATATTCATTGCGCTCCTTCGTTAGTTTCATTGAAATTGTTTAATAGCACGCGCTAGAAATAGATTTCTTTTAGTTCTGTATATAATTGGCACTTAAATCATTTAAAATACATAAAATATAAAATATAGTACACAAAAACATCTTTATAAATATGCAAAAGGTTAATTTGGATAAAATGTAGGTTATAGTATATGTATATCAATAAATAAATCACGTTCATTCCACAAAAATTGCCAAAGGAAAACAATACACACGCGCCCATTGCACATTAATTAATGGTTTCAGTACGAATAAGTTGCAACCTCGTTTCCGTCTCTACATATCCTCTACTTAAATATACCATCATCATCATTATCATTATCATCTAATCATCCCCTTTCGATCGATCGAACGATGATCAGAACTGTGGCAGGTTCTCGGATGGGGCAGGGGTTGCGCGGGTGGGCCTAGGGGACGATCTAAGGGAATGTTGAGCATATAACTAGAACACTTATAAATCAACGACATCCTCCTTTGTGTAGGGCGTGGCCTCTCTAAACATGCGTCGTGTCGAGATGGTGCGCTGCAGGTCTTCAGCTAATGTCTCCTGTTCGGAAGGGCGAATGTTAAACGTGTCAGCATTATTTTCGTATTTCTTAGCTTAACAATTACTTTGACAACAGGCAACAACATACAGATGCAAGATGAGTGCTAGTGACAGGCATGCACAGGACTACAGGACTACACACTAGACAACAAATATTAGACGCACAGGATGGGGTGAGGGGATGAGCAACCGAAACAACGATGCCACCCAAATTTCGAACGGCGATTCATGATTGAAGCAGCAGCTGTGGTTCCGCGTTCTTCAAACCTCGAATAGCGTTGAGATCTCCTTGCCAGCGATGCGCTTGACGCCGCCGCTCTCCGCACAGCTGCCCGACTTGCCGCTCAGCTGGCCGTTGCGCATGCTCAGTATCTCGTTGCTGATGAGGCTGGCACAGGCCATGGCATGCTTCTTCTCGGTGGTGCTCGAATGGCTGCTGGAGAGACTGCTGCTGCCGTGCTCCGTGATGGTGGTCTTGCTCAGCGTCTCCTGGCTCTCGCTGTTGCTGCTTGTGGTGCTCACAATCCTTGAGCGCGCCTGATTCTGGGTGTTTAATACTGTCGTCGTTATTGTAGTCGTTGTGGTTGCACCGCCGCTGGCGGATGATGACAGCGACGAGGTCGAGGATGTGCACGATGCGTTGCTCGTACGCCCACCTGCTGCGTTCAGGAGGGTTCTGGGCATAACGGGCGGTTTCAGGGGGAGTTCTTTACAGTTAACGAGTACAACAAATCAATCAAAATATGAAAATAAATAAGATACAAAACAAAAATCGTTTAGGCTTGCATAAATCTACATCTACGAATGGAGGGAGGAGATCTACAAAGTGCTGGGCAGGCATCGAATCCGGCATACATCCGTCTCATTCTCATGCACTGGCTGGGGACACTCCACTTACCCAATCGACTAAGGCCTGCCGCCAGCTCGCGCACAGACTTCTTCTCGAGGGCAGCTCCTGCAATAAAAGATTTTAAGACCTTTCCTTATGGGAACAGCGGCCAGCGCTCACCTGGTGTAATGCCCATAATGCTGCCGCCACCACTACCGCCCCCTGCTATGGCTATGCCCGGCGTGATGCCCACGATTGATCCGCCGGTGCTCTGTCCAAAGGTCAGCACCTCAATATCTGAGCACAGGAAAAAGAGTGATCAGTGGATTGGCGATTAGATTCAGATTTGGCAGTTTCTCTTACCTTCTTGCAGCTTGTCCGGCGTCGTCTTGTTGGAGTCGGCGGTACCGTTTCCAGTCACCAGCTCGCTGCTGGACTTGGGCTCGCTGCCGACCACAGACCAGGGACGCGGCTTCTGCAGCACAATGGGCGTTCGCAGGATTCCGTTGCCCGTCTTCACTATCACGCTGCCCTCGCCGCTGGTGGCGTGGCTCTTGATCGAATCGCTGCTGGGCGAGCGCATCTTGTCATCGCGGTTGCCCGCTTTGAGCAGTCCGGATGTGGCTCCTTCTTCCATGGCAGCGCCCGAGCCAGGTCCACCCTCGGTGCGCATCTTGACCAGCGGCGATTT